CGATTATTATACCATTTTGGATTTTTAATTGTACCTGAAACCTGTTGAATTTTGCATCATTCTTGGATAGTTTAGGTCTCTAGGATGTCTTTTCTTGCATTTCAAGTGTTTTTGTGAAGACTTTTATATGCTATTAATATTGTCCCAAATAATTTTATTCTGAAATTATTATTTTAAAATTAAAATCATTCGACTATGCTTGCGCAGAAAGATTACTAAATTTCGTGATATTTGGAACAGTGCTAGTTACGAAATCATACATAAAGGCGTTGGTAATCTACAAATATAAGCTTATGATATTCAGAAACCATTGTAAAAGTTGACCTTACTATTATGTTGAGGATCGCTAACAACGTGCTTACTGGTATTTTATATCATTGCTAGTTAAAAAATATTGAAATACGGGTGATTAGTGTGTATGGAAAATTTCGATGATATCCTCTGGAGACGCGACCTCAAACATCCCTGCATAAACAAAGTATTTTATCGTTCCTCCATGTGAATCTGTATGCCAAGAACAGTTTGTTGTGACAGACTGTCTGTTATTTATGCATGTGTTGTCGGTTTTTGACAAATGCATCCCTAGTTATATATATATATGCTTATTTTTGAGTCAATTTTTTATAAATAATTTTGACCCGTTATTAGTTGGTTATTCAAAAAGCTAACCATTAGAGATTTGTATTGCATTAAGACATCCGCGCGACGCATAATAGTTTTTGCGTTGCTATAAATCGATGCTTTTGCGTTGCTTTTGTATGGATTTTGATTATATATATAGTATATATAGATTATATACTATATATCAATATGCTTCATATATGTTCGTATCCAGATAAATCTTCATTAAAATTCCTGCAGGCATATGTCAGTACTGTGACGTCATGTCGAATGAATAATTGCTGTATAATTGTATGTTCACTCTTGATTCACTTATTTCGAACTAAATTTTAGCTTCTTCTAAAATTATCGTGTTCTGTGAAGATAGTACATTAATTGAGAGTCTTTAGACTGTTTTGAATCTTAAGTGGATTTCATGGAATCCCGCGGATCACATAAATATAGCCAATAATCCAACTATTTTACGAGATATTTTTAAACCACTGATAAACAAAACTTAGCCTCAAGACCACATGAGTATCATTAACTTTTTAATGTTTCTTATATTGAAAATACAATTCTACAACTTAGCGGCTTTACAGCATGAAATAACACTATATATTTTATTATATCTTTGCGTATATATATAAATGTATAATTTTCTTGGTTCACTGGAACGATGGAAAATTATTCAAATAAATATAATTAAATTTCTATATCTTTTGCGGTAAACTTCCGTGCCCTATTAAATCGAGGACCGTAAAAATTAAATTTTGTTTCCGAAAATAAACTATTCAAAAATTTTAGTAACCATGGCAAAAATGATCGTGGCACATTCCTGAGCGTATCAGGCTGCGCCAAACACGGCCATCGCAATTTCTTATATTTTTGTAAAATCATGTATAGTTTTCATTTAACGATAACGCACAGAGGCGCTGGACCGAATATTTGCCAAATATATAAACTATTTTAATTCATAAAATCCTAAATTGTAATAGGTACTGAATTAAGACACATGGTTTATTGAACTTGGTGTGTAAAATTGAAGCTCCCAATTTCTCTGGCCCGTGTTTTTACTGGCTAACCGAAAGCGTGATTGGCTGTTTAGGAATTTGAATGTCAACAATGCGAGTACAAGATGGCGAGGTGAAGCGCACTTGACGTTTCGAGTGAGATGTAAACAGTTACGCCCGGTAGAGCGGAACTGTCCTGTCAATTGAGCTTGACCCCGGAGAGTGATAAATCGAGCATAGAATTATGTTTATCGTATAAGTATTCACAAGTTTGGGACGCCCTTTTTGTAACTTTGTTGCGAACAGCTAAGATCAAACAATGTTATTATTATTATAATATATATTTGTGAGATAAGTTTAGACTCGTCGACTGTCTGGCATATTGACCACACAAGTATTAAGTTTCAGTGAGAGAAAGAAGCATCTGGCAAAACCAAGTTAAGAACGTATTTATATATATATATATATATTATAAATTGAAATATGGAAATGAAATATTGGTGGGAACGTGTAGACTGGCGATAGAAGCATGGACTACATATGTGTGATGTGTCTTACCTCTGAAATGCTTTACATTCAGGAACCTTTCTTGGATTGTTCATGTGTTTCAAAATATGAAAAGCACAATATTCAATAACATGTGATAGTGATATCCATTTTCGTAGCTTTTATTTTGATTAGCGGAATATACCACCATGGGATTTGTGGAATGGCGACTGACTGAAATATCTCTGCAGATAAAGATAAACATACCAGGTTAGAACAGCTTAACCGTAAAGTCGACATTTCCGTTGACATGTCGCCGTTTTTTTTTAAAAAAACACAGCATCGTCCACAAGATGTCTGTCGTGTAAAACCTCTATAAAATATAAATGGCCGGCGTGGAAGTTCTTAATTTAAGACAGTCCTTTCTCCAAATTTGACTAATTGTTCGTTTGGTAGAGGATTATGGTGAACTGCGAGCTCGATAATTGCCGTGTTAATAAGAATTGATTGGAAGGTTGTGTCGATTTCAACTTGACTTGTCTCGAATTACCTTTTAATGTACATATATCTGTCTGGTAGTCGGTAGTGCGAAGAGTAATTGCTAAACTAACTAATTTTGCTTTTGTCATACTTGCTGGTGTTAGTTCGATATTATGTGATATATTTTCAAAAATACTCGTTTACGAATATTTATTCAGTCGGACATATATTTCGAGATAATGTGGATTTGTCGTATATAAAGATTATGAAGTGTGTATGTCGTAATTATATGAAATGATTAATATGAACTCAAATAGATTTAAATATATTTAGATCACAGGTTATAGAAATGCATGTTTTAGAAGAATTTCAGAATAGCAGGCTACAAATCTTATTTTGGCATGGACAAGGCGACTTCAAGTTTATCTACCTTGCGACTGTTACTGTTCAACGCAATTTTATAGTAATACGCTCTGAAGATTGATAGTTTCTCATTCCCCTAAATCAGAATGTGTATGTACACATTCGCACTGCGGAATTTGTTCAGGACTCGCAAGGAAAGCTAGAAAAATCAGTGCGGCTTTGTCAAATGTTTTCTCCAGAAATTATTACGAAACGATCAAATTTTAACAAATAATTCTGACATAATTAGTTCTGTCTGGACCACGTTGACTGAATACAAGCAGGTGTATTCTCTAGCAAAGATATTAATTACCATCTGCTCACTTTCTATTATTCTTTGTAATGACTAAGAATCAACCGATTATACAACATCACTATCGATCGACAAAAATGCAAATCAAATAGGCGACGAGTAGACACGATGGCTCTATGGGTTAGATTTATATTAATATCGAACGAATGTACTTAATGTTCTGAAATTCATTACTGCATTAGGGTCAGCATTTGAATTTCACAAAATGATTGTATATATATTAAATTACCATTTACTCGATTACAAAATGCTTCATCGAATTATCGTCCGTTTTGTTAGGCCAATGCTTTGCAACATAGCTCTTATCTCGTATTCCGCGCTTGCTGCTTGCATATTGGACGGACGATTATTGGACGACGTTCATTGGCAAATTATTCATAGACATTTGAAATTTACGTTTCAGAAAATTTGCCTCCTTCGCTTGTACTCGCTTTAGAATATCGACTTCGTAAACTCGTCATATTTTCGATTTTTTCCCTTTTACCAGACGTTTCCATTAATGGTGACATGTCTCCGTGTAAAGTTACTCAAACAGCATATGCACAAGCCATCGGCGATGAAATACACAAGTTGTCCATTATTTGTAAACTCGTCATGGATACGAATTTAGCCTCGTGTGAATAAATAATTAATATACTGCGTCATCTTTTCAAGATCTTCGTCTGACACACGCATAGATCGTATAATGGATTCGCATGATTTAGAATGTAAGTATATGCATATATAAATAGATTTTAAATTCCTCGGTTATACATGGTTGTTTAACGGAAAGAATTTAGCGATAAATGAAAGTGTACCCATGGGACCGAATATGAACAATGGTTTGGATTTGTCTCTATGAAGCTATACTATCGGTTTCCATTTCTCTTACCGTTCCTCAACTGGATTTATTTCTTTCCACGGGATACATTGTCGCTAATGTAAAAAGCAATGCTTTTATTGGACACGTGAGTGGACCTATGGGTCGTTTTCATATTTTTGGTTTTGTCGGTCTTCTTCTTCGTATCGTTTTGAAAAAATCGCTTTTCTCTTTGATTACTGGACGAATTGCTTTGAAATTTTCAGTGAGTAAAGATTATATTTCTCTCTAGAAGGCTACTACTTTCATTTATCGTTTTTTGTGTGCTATGACGCTATCAAAATTTGCCACTATGTGGCGCTACGTGTCCATATATTTGAGCATAGATCTCATGTCTAAAATTATAATATAAGTAGGGGGCGCTGTCGAGTCGTAATATTTCTTCGAGATCAACGTCGATGCGCGTGATTTTATATAACGTTTTTGTATGGCACAAATAATGAAAACATTGAATAATATGTTTTCATTTGCACTATAATTCAAATACCTATTGCTTAATTCAAGTTCCTGTGTCCAATCCCATGATGAGCAAATAATAATAATTCATATATTCTTTATAATTGGCTTAAAACTAGGTTTCTCACGCTAACATTCCCACGGAAAATATAATTTGTTGGCGATGTCCCAAAACACTCATTTTGCCGATTGTCTTAATTTTACATGTAAATATAGATATTTCTCGTTATTATGTGGTCATTTTCTAATTAGAAGTAGTTAATTGTATTACAACTATATTACCAATTCGTTTTCCACTTTAAATTTTTATCATAGGTAATTATTCTCGCGGCGTCGTAGTTGTTGATGAAGTAGGCTTATTGTAATTAACATACCATTTGTGTTTGACAGATTCTATTATTATTACTATTTGCCTAAATTAGTTCTGTTCAGTATCACCCACCACTCCATTTCATTGTTACCTATCGGACTCAATTTAGTACACTATTGTTTCTGAACTCTCGTTGGGAAAATTGAACCTCGTCCAGGTTTTAAGTGTTGCGTAAAGCTATTCTTCAAGAAGGTACCGAGGAATAAATAATCCCCATTGACGCAACAAAGTATTCTGGTGTCGTCTTCAATTAGGTAAATAACCAGTAGTAACTTGTAAGGAATCGGAAATTATGTGATCAGAAGTTTCGTTACCTGAAAAATTGGATGAAAAATATGAGGGTGACAGTATGTTTCGGGCAAACTCGTGTTATCGTGCCATGCAAAGGAGGAGCCACTGTTGCCGAACTCGTAAAGGAAGCTTGCGCTCGTTATAAGAAGGCTATAGGAAAAGTAAGTGGGCTTATTTTAATTAGTCTATATTGGATTTTGGAATATTATAATATCTTATAGACTATTCAGAGTGCACAATGATATACAATAGGAAGAACTTTTTTTGTGAAATTGGAATATGATATTTTTATTATATATTTTTTTATTTTCTTATTTAAATATATATTGACTGTATTCTATCTTCATCCATGAGCAATGTAAAGTAAACACAAAAAATACGATTGGAACAACATTTGTTGTAAAATTTGAATATACTGTTTTTATTTGTATTTTTTAGGATCTTTTGTACAAAGCCCCACATTTTTAATTTGTAATGTATAAACATTGTTATTTAAACATATCCTTCATTTGTGTATTTTGTGATACATGCTGTTTTGATACCAAATTTATTTGGCTCTTCACATAATTTCAGACACCAAAATACAGAGTGAAAATTCGTCAGTTGGAAAATGCTGTTGATGGTGGTATATTAGATACAGATGATTATGTTTTTGATGTTGCTGAAGACAGAGATCAAGTGAGTTAACAAACAAGACTAAAAATAACAATTCTAAATATAAAAAAATTGGAAGAAAGGTTCGATTTTTGGACATGGATATCCTAAAATTTGTTTGTCATTTTGTGCTGTGCGATTTTAGCATTGAATTTTTGTCTGAATATTATTATTATATTTTTTTGTGATCAAACTAAATGATTTTTTGATTGGGTGTAGAAATATTTCACTTTAATAGTATTGATAGTGTGGAATGATGTCATGGCATTGTATATGAACAGTTCTTATCGTCCCACATATTTTTGAACTGTGTGTAAATTAATATTTTTATTTATGGACTCAAAATACCTGATGCATTTGAATTGACTATTCTGCTTGCTTTCTTAATTAACTTTATTTATGAATTTATTAATAGTATAATATCTTATTGAAGCAATTCATTAATGCGATCAATGACACATTGGAAATTTTCTATCCAGCCCACTGAAATAGATGTTACTTCCTCTTGATCTATATGACTTATTACTCAAATATTTCATGCATACCACGAAATGCATTCTGTACTCAGTGCCATATTCTCTATGCTTCCTTGTTGTTGCGCTAGGATAGGATAATGCAGATTTTATAATTTATTGAGGCACTATCTAAATTTTCGTAAAATGTGGCTTTTCAGAACATTACGAACTAAGGTACAGTACAGTAGGTGTTTACAATATTCAAAGTTTAGAAGTTGAAGTATCTTGTATGTATCATGCTTGTTTCATCAGCAATTATGAATAAAGTATTCATTCGGATACCCTATGTGTTTCATAGTTTGAATTACTTTTCTATATAATTGACAACTTACACAATGAAAGTGTTTATTGATAATACTTTAAATGGGAATTCATTGCGCAAGACACATTTTTTTATACTCTCATTTCTCATAAATTGTACATATTTTGTATTATTTTAAACAGAGTTCTCTACATTGTATCAAATATTGTAATTGCAAAACTTAGCAAAGAAAATTATATTGACACATTTTTCCATGCCTGCCTGATTTTTGATGACCTAACCTATGGCTAACATTTTCTGTTTCAGCTTATTGCAATATTTGAAGAAGAAGATAATCAAACATATCATTATAATGGATGGGACAGACACAGTGGATCAGGATCTGATGGTCATCGAAGTCCGTTGTCATTTCAACACCATTCTTCTGTCCTAAACAGCAGATTTGGCAATGATAATACCTCATGTATGTGAATACCCTGTTATTTTCGCATTGTGTATTTTTACTATTTGACTATTAAACTATTTAAACTATTCAAAGAGGCTAATATTAAAGGTTGTACAATAATTGATCATGGTAAAACCTATCCTAAATTTTATTGGTTCTAAGTACATTTGAAAGTACCATTGCTATTTGCTATTTATCATAATATGAGTTCTGTTTTCTACATGAGTTCTGGCATATTTCGTGATTCAGAACATAGTTTTATGTATGTTTATTGTGATAGGTATTATTTGATGAATCATACAATTTTAATGCTTATTCCAACTGTTGACATTTTATAACAGCAAGTAGAAATCGACCTCTAGCACCCACTGGAAATGCAACTGTGATAAAACATAATAGCAAAAGAGAACAAAACCTCGAAGTTAATGTTGGTGTGGATGCATTGAAAGCAGGTAAGTGTATTGTTCATACTCTCTTTGGTCAAAAACAAAATCTTGTAATTGTGGATATTTTATGGATTATAAACATTATTTGTCAATGAAGATTTATTCCTGTAAGACTGAATCTAATACACAAACTAAACTGATTGCCGACCTATGGTTTTCCAACCATGTGTAGATTCAATATTGAACCTGAAACAACAAGATTACTTCATATTTCCAATATTTTATTTTTCCATATATAGCCTATATAGTTTATTTTATAGTGATAAGAAAAGATGAGGTCATAAGTTATAACTCGAAATGTTATTTGGTTTTATATACTCACTAATGCTTGATGGAATGCGGCATTACAGGACCATGACGCCACCAAGTTTCTGATAAGTGGTTTTGATTTTCAAAATATATAAACAAAGTTAAGCATCAATGACTGTAGTATAATATAACTGATAACAAAGCTATTTTTAGCTGTCTGATATTGTGTGGCATTTAGTTTCAACTTGCAAGTGAAAGCTATCATTACGCTGCAAGTAAGGACTAGAATGGGTTACAGTAACAATTAGGGTTTATATACATCAGAATGTCAAAGGTTATTGTGTCTTGTGTATGCCCAATTGTTTAATTTCAGTTCATTCCAAGAGTTGAGATACTTACTATTCAATGAGTGATATTTATACTCTTTTAATCTGGATTATAGCATAAACAACTAATTATTGTAGTTGTAGGTATGGCTGTTAAATTTACAATCAGAAGCCTGAATTTTGACACAAACAAACTACCCTCTTCAATCAATTTGTCTAATTTTGATATTAATCAAGATTTGTTATGTTTTTAAAGGATATAAATACAGCTCACTGCTTTAAGGCCACTTGTAATTTGCCGCCACTATAATAACAAGTTAAACCACTCTTCTCAAAAAAATAAAAATAAATTATCAAAGCCCAGTGACACGAAAAGGTAAAATATTGTCACAAGAATGTGCTTATAGCACTTCAGACATGATACATTGGAATTTGGCATAATCTTCTGATTCCGGTAGATAGGACCAACCCATTGAAGTATCTTTTTTATGGTATACTTTAAAATTGACATTTAGGCAACAGGATAGCGTGTTTGGCAAAGGCAGCGTGCTTTGAAGTAGGCTTGAAAAACTCATCCCAAATCAATTATTAGTCGTTTCAAGGAGTACACTCACTAAGATTGAAAGCTATCATGGTCAGCAATGTAATTACAAAGCTGCGGTAAAGGCTTCGTTGAATATAGGAATTCCAGAGACCAGAATTGAGAATTGACTATTATTTCAGCGTTTTGGCAGAAAATACAGAAAAACGCCCCGCCCCTTTTTTGTTTAAATACTAAATTGTATTATGTAAGGGCCAAACTTGCCTTTACCTCACAATATGACTAGTGGGCCTTCTGGTATTTGATACTTGAATTTTGGAACATTTCCAATTGAGTTACCGGTATGTGTTTTTGAAAATCAACCGCAGAGAGTAGCTTTATGCACAGATTACTTGTGTTACTTACGGTACTCCCTTATTAATTGTCTCGTCTAATTATTTGGCTTTGGGAACATAGCTGGAGGTAACACCATAATCGGCTTCTGATTTGAATGCTACTGCCTCTATTGATAAGCTATCGCAAGCTAACGCTGTGAAATTTGCACAATTTGTTATCAAACAACAACACAAAGGCGCGAATTTACTCCCGATTCTTCGAGGTCGCGGGTATTAATCGCATTGCAAATACAGGATTAGAAAAGCGTCAAGTTAAGCCAAATCAAATTTGATTTTCTGCTCTGTTGCCTACGATATCGAGATAGATTAATAATAGGAATATTTAGTGGGAAAGTAGAGTCATATTTGTTGGCGCTTCGTTTCTACCAATTTTACTATTGAAATATTTAGGCTTTCACCTAATAAATAGTCTTCATTCGCTTGTGTATTTATTGTGTATGCCGAGAATTTATATTATTGCCGTTTCTAATATTTGGTAGGGTTTAATTGCAGAAACATGTCTTCAAATTATAGGCAGGAGGCGCCGCATTTTAGAGCTTTTTTAAATGTAGTCGATAAATATTTCTTCGCATATGCACAGCACAATATTATTTGTGAATATTCGAGTAAAATTGTTGAGATATATTGCATCAAATTTTCGATTAATTTATTTGTGAAAAACTGACAGATTCATTAGCGGCACCCGGTTCAATCTGAATTTCTGCGTTAGCGAGGTTTTATCTTCCTTTAACTCGATTAATGAATATATCTATTTATAGACTTTTCGTCGAAGCAATCTTATTTATCGCACACTTACGATAAAGTTAAATTTCTGATTTGTTAGACATACAAAATTGGTCCAGAAAGCATAAATGTAAAGTAGGTAACATTATCCACTAAAACACCCGATTCGCCTTTCAACAGCACGAACTCTGCAGTATCACGTTATGCCGAATACGAATCATTGTCCATTTTAATTTCGCCCAAACTTGCCCGGAGATGAATCATTATATGCAGTGATGCATGTCTTCTCAGGTATGCGCGGTATTAGTTCCCTTTAGTTAGTACAATGGAATTCAACCCTCAACTAGATAAAGATAATGCGATCTGCCGTTTTACTTCCTGCGTTACCTTTTAGTATGTAACCGTGGATTGCGGTCGTCGTCTCTCGCTAATTTATCGCTGCTTATGTATTATGAGTTGTCTGTCGCCTGCAGCGGATGTTATCCGTCAAAATATTTACAATTGCAAAACGCGTAATCGTCAGAGTGAATAACTGGTTGCAAGAAGTAAGGGCAGATTTTGAGTTGAGTTTACAGTATATGCTTAGGTTTATTTATATATTAGATTATCGGCGCCCCAGAAGTATGTCTACCAATATGGAGGTAACTAATGTTGTTCGCCTATTTTACATCAAGTTGTGAATTTGTTAGTAATTGCAGAAGAACAGTAGTACTATGTCGAAACGTCAATTTAGCTTGTCGGATACCGGTCGGTCAATTATATTTTTAATCCAGTCGTTTTGACTGATTTGTAAGTCAATTTATTTTGCTTTCTCAATTATCTCGATTTTTGAAATGGTAATTATAGTTGCGTCTTAATTCTGCACTATTCCAGGCAAAAATATATTATTATAGATGCTATATATATACTTATCGATATTCAGAATATATTATTCTAGAAGGGTAGTATCATGTGATGTGAGATATGTTTCTAGTCTATGTCTATGGGGGTTGAATAATATAATTATGTAAAAGTAGGCACTGAGAATGCCGGAACAAGGTCAGCGGGAGGTGTTCGGTTTTTCGCGGAAGTTATGTTCTTTCAACTGCATATCGTCAGCGTTCGTTACCCGTGGTTACCAATCGATATATTCAAATAAGAATTTTCTTAGTCCATCAACATCTGTTCAGTGTAGTCATTAATAGCACTCCCTAGTTTAGCAAAATTTACCAAGTGCCAAGCTTGGTCTAAGAAACTGCGCAACAGCATGCTATACAACGAATAAACAAGAAATCGGCGCAACTGTTTTAGTATATTGTAACATATTTACGATTTGCCACTTATAGAAGTATTAGGCACACTTTTCCGCGAACCGGTACCTGTATTTCCTATTTATTTATTTGCTCAAGTATATTCTGAACGACAATAATAGTACAGACCTAAATTTTGCGGCCCTTTACAGATTATGGCAACTCCAAGGAAGTTAGCTTGCACGAAATATTGACAAAATGGATGACTCGTTAAAATCACATTTTATTACGCTTTAATAACGCACTTCCACTACGACTTTAAACTCAATGACGCAAAGCACAGGTGACGCTCGCTATGGACGAAGTCATCAATTTTATGACACAGTTATGAATAAAACTTGTGTGTTTCCGTGTGTGTTTAATTAACCGGCAAGTATATGACTTGAAATAGAAAAAAAAAACATGATTTTCGCTGCCGTTCTTTCGTTCAATTAACGTCTTCCCCTGCCGTTTGTCGGCAACTCGTGATCATTGTTTATCATCACTGTCGGCAGAGTGGGTCTGATATCAGATGCGTTTTACCCATATTTTAGAATTAGAACTCGGTATAACCCCAATTAGGAATGTTTTTGTTCATCACTATGGCGTCATATTTAGGCATAGTAAAGAGGATTTTTTTAATTTTGATAATGCCATATTCCATTAAAACCAACTGAATTGAGTGTATGTAGGTTGTCGTTTTTTTTGATGTCATTCATCACAGCTGTACAACTGTGTGTACCTATTATACTGGTCATCACACAGGATTCCTTTCATGTATAGGGGTGTGGTGTCATGTGTTTTCATACTTGTGTTTGTAAGAATTTACAGCTAGCCTATTAAGCTGGAAGGTCTAATGCTGATATGAGTGTTATATGTAAACACTGAAACGGATTTGCCTGTGTGCAAAACATGCGTTTGTATGTTAAGCTGCTTATTAGAGAGGATTTTTGAGCATTAACTAACAAAAATGGTGTAATATCAAACATGGTCCAAAGATGTACTCGTGTGTTTAATCAACAAACCAAGGCACTTTTCTTCAATGCTAAATGCTAATCTATTAAATCGAGTTCATCTTCAGAGATATTTAGTGATTTGAAGGGACGTTGGAATATTTTGAAGTTTATATTTGCCACCATTGTGGATGGAGAAATGATTTAGCATAGATGGAATATAAAATTGAACTTATTTGTAGATTCGGTTGAATTCTAACAAAATGTAAACAATAGCATATGTATATTGCTTCTAAGATGGATAGAAAAGTTGACCGAAAGCTTTATAGATGGATCATTTAAGGGTATATTAGTTATAGCTAGTTTAAAGGATCAACTGCCGGAAGTCCATATCCGAACAGTTCAGTGTTTTGGCAATCACATTTGGAGTTTATTAGATGGACTAAGCAATAAAATCAATTTAATTAATTCTAATCAATCATTTGTGCATTATTGCCACAAAAATCTTGATATTTTCAAGGTAAGTCTAAATTGAATTACTGGGAACTTTACTATGAAAATCTTTTCTATGATCATTCATTAGATTGTTGTCTATAAATAACATTTTTATTTTGCCATATTGTCATATTACACAGTCTTCTACTACGGCAGTTGATTTCTTACGTAGTTGATGTGATTCACATTATGGTTTCATTGTGACTAATTCACACTGTTACGTATTGGAATATCTTCATACAATGTAACAGACGAGTGGGCGGTTTATTCAGTAACCATATGTAGTAAAGAAAAGATTACTCAGCTTGCTAAGTAGTGAGGAAAGAATGTCAATAAGAAAAGGCCTATTTCAAATGCAAGATTATAGTAATAGAGTTTTTGAAAATATTTTTTGTCAGAGAGGGGACCAACTTAAATTTTATTTTTCTTGCCAGAAATTCATATTTAATGATAATTGTTAATAATTGTTCTTGTATAAAGTTTGTGTTTAACTAGTGTTAGATGATAACTTTATATTTAATGAGTGAGATAAAAAATACTTCAACTATTAGGACATATAGAAATCTAATTCTCATATTCACTAATTACAGTTTTGTTGAATATACCTGATTACCTTAGTCTCACAAAAATTCTTTCCCCGAATTAACAGGGTGTGTTCATAAAGATCTGTATTAAATTAGGTTACTGGTAAATAGTTCATATGTGCTTCATGCAACTCATTGTAGGTGTATTGAAAATTGAAAAAAATTAATCAAAAATAGCACTGATTTAAATAAAAAGATAAATAAAGCTATAGCTGACATCCCAACAAAATCAAAATGTTACACGCTAAACACGCCATATATAAACATAAATAGTGAAGTGATTTTTGTTACTATGTATAATAATATTTTACTTGGGAATTCCTCAACTCCCTTTTTCAGAATGTTGTCAAAATATGACCCAAATCAATTAACATAACTCACAAATGATGTATTTTTGCATGGTGAAAATGTTTATTCGCGTTCTTCTTCAGTCATTGTTACGACATGCCCGATTGTCAATCTTTTTCCGATTAAACTAAATAAACTTTTGCTATTTATATAAGTTGAACTCATTGGATGCCAAAATGATGATGAATTGAAAGATTAACACATCCGTTTAAAATTGTTTTGATTCAAATGGAGAAAAGTTTGCCTAATGAATATTAAATATTTATCAGCATCAATTCTATTACCATGTACCAAATTTTGAAAATTTTGTTGAAATGAAAATTGATTTAACAAGTGATTCTGACAGCTGATTCATACCAGAATCTACTTTTTGATTTAATCGGTCTTTGTAAAAATTGAATCATTTCATTTTGCCTTGTATTTCTGACATATATAATTGATATATCTACCGGTAAATGAAAATGTTTTTCATTTGTTATATAAAGCTTTCAATAATTTCATATTTTCATTTTCCTCAGGTCCTAATTCTCATATAACTGTACGTAGAGAGAGTGAACAAATGTTGGATAGAAATGAAGAAAACATCAAGAATATTGGAACACACAAATCACCTGTGAGTAAGGTATATACAAATGTTTTGGCTTATTTTATGCTCAATGCCTCATAGTCATATTATACTCATATGCCATCTCATATTTACTGCATGGTTCAAAAAACATAGAACGTGAGAAAAATCATATAAGTTATAACCATTTCTAAAAATATAATTTTTAATTTGTTACTGCATTCAATAAATATACATGATTGAAGCTTTATAGAATGCCTTATTCAGCAAGAATGTATCCCATGTAATATTTTTACTTCTCCATTTTTTATTAATACTATGATACTCCCTCTGTCTGTAATTAGATGCAAATAGTTTACGGAATTGGCTATATTTAGACTTCTCTATATTTTCAAGTAACCCTCTCATTCAATTCCCTCGTTAAATTTGTTGACAAATGTCTAATATATGATCTCAAAACAAAGAAGTTTGAGGAAGTATTATAACTGGCTTTTGACCTTTATTTACTTAATAACTTACCTAATTACTTAAATTATTGTTATTTTCAGAATTTGAACCATTATTATGAGAGGCAAGTCTCAGGTGGTAATCATTTAAATGAAGAAAACCTGAATCCATCAGAATATCATAAGCAAATTATGATTACAACAGCGAACAGCTCTCCAGATCAGAATGTTAGTGTTGTGACTGCCAGCAGTGACACAAATAATAGTATTGACAGCGGTCATCATAGTATAAAAACAAAAATAATGTCACAAGACGCAAAAAATTATGGAAATTTTACCCGAGGAAAAATGAGACAATCCAAAATGGGAATGCTTTCAGAAAATTACGATGACCTACCTGAAGATAAATATCGATATAGTGATATTCGACAACCACCAGAGGGTAGGAAAGAAGTTACTTCAAATTATGCGGACTTCAGCTCGCATCATAAAACGGAATATACAGCTGATCGCTATTTACCTCCATCTCCAAAAGATTCCTCGTTTTATCCAGATTTTTATAACGACACACAAGAAATGTTTGTTGATGTTGATAACAGACCTCTCGGTGTTCAGGTGAAATTTGTTCAGCTGTTTTATGTTTTATATTTATGATATCAGCACTTGCTGGTTATTTTTAACAGTCATAAACTATTTATCATACAAAGAGTATTTTATTATAAATATAGATTTGTAAGCTTGATATTACCTAAATCTTTAGGTTTCCATCTTTGATTGGGTATGGATAATTATTGGATGTAGTAAAAAGAGTTATTGTCCAATGGAATTCCGATAAGTGTTTATCAATAAAGAAATCTGTTTTACATCTGGTGTCATTCTGAGAATCGCCAAACTATTTTTTGACATGGCTGTATGTCTTCCATTTATAGTTGTTTCAAATACCAACCATAGGTGTTCTGAAATTTTGACTTGCCACTCTAGTTATGAATATTTTAAGTTTTCATATCGAACCTTGAAATAATATTTTACAGTGAGTCAATGAATTCCCTGCACATAAATTAATCTTCTTTGAAAAATATCTGATATCCTGTTTATACAAATCTATATTTGTTTATACAATTTGTGTATTATCAAAATCCATAATTTATATCTCTGCAAACATCTTCGTACACAAGTCATAGGAGTCATAAAATAATTGGGAATTTCAATGCCTGTACAAAATATTTAAGATAATTCTTTTTGCACAGCAACAAATATAACATTCTATGTATTTCTATTAGGTGATGAGTTTCATGGATAGAAACATATTTTGTGGATTGCTCGTTGAATCAGTTGATGAAGGAGGAAGATCAGAACGAGAAGAACTTTTACGGGAGGGTGATGTTATCGTCGAAATAAACAACTATGTTCTTGCCCAATATACACTACATATGTGAGTACAAACTACTTTTGAGGGGGTTAATATGTTTTGGGTCTAATCAATTTTCTCTTGCTGTGATCTTCACTCTAGGAGACCCTTATGCTCAGTCGTTCTGTCTGTTTGTGTGTTTAGCTGTAGCATTCAAACTGCTAGTCCAATTTGGTTAGAATTTTGTACTAGGGTTATGCCTTGTACCCTTGTATTGTGCGTTTCACCAAAAGTCTGGGTTTCTGTTTCGTTTCCACGGCACCCTTGTATTGTGCGTTTCACCAAAAGTCTGGGTTTCTGTTTCGTTTCCACGGCATCGGTGAAAAAATGCGCCGATTGTTAAAGAAAATTCTAGTTTTCCACGATTTGTCGGCATTATCTTGTAAATTACCCCGAAAATTAAAAATCTGAGATAACTAAATATCCAGCGATCAAAATGAACTAACAATTTCGGTATCACGGTCACTGCAGTTAGCTAAAGATCTGTACATGTTGGTTGGTATCAGTGGTTATTAAAGATCTCAAGGCTGAGTTAAATTTCTATGCTTATGTTAGAATCAAGTACGTTCAAAACAAATGAAATATTCCAATCAATGCAAAATTCGTGAATTCAATATTATGAATTCCTGATTCCAAGAGTATTTCAGACTAGTTTCATTAGAAAAGTTCTCATATTGGGCTTTTGGAATCTGGTGATCAAATCTGGTGGTTAGTCGAAACAAAGAATGTATTTCACTGATGGAACTGTACAAATAGAAAATCAAAACGAAACAAAGTTTATCTCACGTTCCTATTAACTATTCTACAGTTAATCAAAGTTATTTCAAAATATGTTCCTTATAAAAAAGATTACTTCCTAATATATTCAGCTTCGACACATAGAAAGCAACCTTTGGTTTTTGCAATAAATGAAAAAAGAGATGTGATATTGCTCAAGTTGCTTGTATCATCAAAATTCATCATAAACGAGGGTTATTTGAACCCTAATTAGTGCCATATTTTTGGCTCATTTATTCCCAAATTAGCTATGCGAGATGGCACGTCGATGACACTGATAGGGTTCAAATTAGGGCTTTGAGTATCTGGTTTCATCGTCATGGGAAACTAAATCCTCACTTTTTGAACACGCTTGATCGATTTTCTTCACTGAATTATTCTTAATGGCACGAATTTTTGTATGGTTCTTTCCTTATGTCTATTCTATTTTCTTTGAATGTTTTTGTTCCGAGTGAGTTTCGTAAATTGGTTGAAATCGCTGTGCCGCATTTATAACATAAATGTGTAATTACAGAAACCAATATTTTGGAATAATATATTGAAATTCCCTATGGCTTTAAGATAAGTTGAGTAATTTACCATAAATCTTCCCCTTTTTAGGCTAAACCAAAATATTTACAGTAGACTATAGTCTGGCTTAGTTTTGTTTCTATTGAGATTAACTTTTCTTCTCCTGCCCCTTTTTTCTCTTGTTTCTCTCCTTTTTACAATTTTTCATTTTTATTTATCTTAGTGCACAGGAGATCTTCAAAAATGCTATGAAATTCTCAGAGCTTCAACTTCGCGTTTACCCCATAGAAGAGAGAGAAAGAGCGACGTTGGAGGTGCCTGGAAGTACCACAGTGGAAATTAACAATGCTTTAAATCGGCATAGGTCAGTTCGCCATATGTCATCACCACATTCAGTATTTATTCATAAGGCAGCGTGGTAGTATTGTGTCTTTCTCTCATGCTGGGAATGTTATTATTCTTTGGGTATGGAAGGAATCATAAGGTATTATAAACAGTGGATTTGTCTCATATAGGAGTCGTATGAGAATTATTTTGTATTTTGAACGAAAGAAGATGAGTTGTAAATTTTATGAATTTCAAATTTCTAGTATTAATCTCAAAGAAAGGATTTTGTAATAAAAATTCTGGTTTGCAGTGGGAATAAGAATGGCTTGGTTTATTGTTTGACAATGTGCATAACATGGCAACAATTTTTTAATAATATTTATATTATGTGCAAGCTCGTTGATGATGACAAAATTTGAATTACCGTATGACCGTATCACAATAAAGTAGATGAACTTATTCGTTTTAACGATCCGATCACCAAGTAAATTTCCATATTTAGTCTTCTCATTCAAGATAATAACAATTTGAGTAGTTTACTTAGGCAGGTCTTCTTCTTAATTTGTGCATCATCGCCAATTTCTTAGTGTTTTATAACGGCAAAAATATATTTGTGGATAACAGTGGATTGTACATTTAAAAATTATATTTTCGTTGATAGCGAAGTCAGATAATTAAATCTTACAACTCGCTATTTCCTTACTAATTGAAATGAAATAATAGGTATAGGTTATCAATTGACCTCTTTTTATCTGATTACTCCTCCTCCTAACTGTATATCTATTAAATGGTTTATTGAATAAAACGTCGTTCTCCTTGTCCAATATAAATAATAGTTCTCCACCCAGAGTGATGTCCATTGTCCAATTCACGTTATTGGCACCGATCATTCCGTGATGTACTTGCTTGTGAAAACATTTTACTGATACAATAGATGATGTTATAATAATGTGGCAATTCGTATTCTTTGAGAGTTGAAAAAGTTTTCCGATTGCTTTATTTGTTTACTCAAGGTTATGAAGTGTCCAATCATGGCCTAAGATATAGCATGCAAAATAAGCGTTTCTCATCTATGTGTATAGCTTAAGTATAGGTTTAATAACCTAAAGTTTGAATTTATCCCTTCTTAGTCACCTCCAAATTTCACATAATATTGAAATACTAAAATTGTTTTGCTATTCCCAGGGTTAGTCATAATTTACAAGTTGATGGTAGTCAAGTTTTCCTAGATATGGGCCAGTCAAGATTATATTGTTTAAATTTGTTTCCAAAATTTTAAAATCTATTCTTTTTCATCAAAATTGTTAACATGAGAGACGTTCGTTACTGGTAGACAATTTCCTATTAGAGATAGCGATGTATCATTTGTGTTGTTTATTCACCACCACTAGAAAAACAAAATTTACTTGAAACCTTCCCGCGTGCAAACATTTATCTCACGTCTGTTGGTCTAATCAAACTTACTTTGAAGGCTCCCGTAGTAGTGTCGTTATACTGCTATGATCAAGAGGCTGTTGTTTTTTGAAGCTGATGCTTATTATTAACTCATTTGATTTGATATAATTTTAGATTTGTATTATGGACCACATTTGTGATTGGTCGAAATTTAGCTATCTGGAATTCTAGACTGCTGTAGGCTATGTATTGGTGTGCATCATGCAATTATATTTTATTTGGGCTATTATGCATCAGCCTTTGTTTATTCATTCAGACTTTCTTAGTTTTTCCTAAAATTAATTCATGGATTCTACTAAGGTAATAGCTGCCAAAGAAGTCTGTTGCAGAGTATTTAATAATTTAATTTACGAAATGAGAAATTTCAATTTTTAATATTACAGTACTGGAAAAAAAGATCATTATTCAGTGAATGGGATTGTGGATATTACCCCATATTACCTATGTGTACTGCTATGTTTGCGAGTGAACATACTCGCTATCTGTTGCTGTCATTTTGTTACTTATTAACAAGTTTTATAGCGGTAATTTGTCCCACGTCATTCTAATTTGTCACATACCCTTAGTAGTACATGAAGTTTTAAGCATTGCACATATTTTTCAAGTCGAGACTGTTAGATTATAGGTTTCAGTATAGAATTTGAGTGTTCTATCATAGACACAGGTTAAGTATGACTTGTAGGCAATCATATATGGCAGTGACTTATTTTTAACCTAATAATAGATTGCGTACTCCAGCAATAGTGAATTCTTTTGAAAAGGTGTTCGCTCTATTCATTAGTTTTCTGCTCTGTTATTTGTACATAACGCAAGTAAGAAAATCAATTGTGAAGTTTGTGCTTGAGTTACTTAGAAAGAGAAAACATTACTAATGTGTTGAACAATATTGTTAGTAATGAGATTGGTTTTGAATCTGGAGTCATGCGCCGGTGCAAACCTTTTATATCACCTTGTATTATATTATAATTTTAGCATTTGAGTCGGTAATTTATTTTAAATTAACGGTAGTTAACCGCTGAATTTTTTATTTTGGTTCTTTTATATGTGTATTTTAGTGAACTAACTAAATGTAATGTCAAAAATGTAGAATAGAAGAAAGTTATGAGTGAAAATCGAGAATTTGTAACTCAAATTGCAAGATACTAGTTCATAGTTAGTATTCTAGGCACAATATGACGTTATTTTAGTTTTGAAAATCTTATTATATTCATTAGCGATAAAAATAAATTGAGGATGGCACATACCAATTTAGGTTTTTGTTATTAATGCCTTATGAAATTTAAAGCAATTTGCAAAATTGCAAATTTTTTCTCAAATGGTCGTTGCAATTTTTTTTCATTCAGGTTAAGCCTTACTAATGATATATTGATTGTGATTTTTGATTTTGGCGACCTGGCTTACAAGTTTACAACAGACTCAAATTAATATATTATTTTGAATTTAAGGGGTTTGAAAGCAGTCCATTTAAAATATTTTTAGTTTTAGAGTTATTAGATGAAAATTTCTTATGAATTTAGTTTCAAAATACAGATCAGTGGTGTCCAACATTTTTTGTCAACAGGCCATGTAATGTGAGGAAATACATTAGCAATAACCAGAGCGCCACAGGAAGTGCAAGGGAAGAGAATGCGGCTATCTCTTAGCCTTACAGTAATAAAGGCACTCGGCAAAACATAATTTGTCGGATTGGGATTTTATGCTTGAGGGGTAAAATCTGAGTATTTACAAGGGCCAGACTAAATGTCTTAGGGGCAGGGTTGTTGCCCGTGGGCCGCCCGTTGCACAGCCCTGATTTAGATTACAGTTACCAAAGACTCGCCTTCTTGAAAAACTTTTCCGAAGAAACATCCAATATATTTTCCTTTAGAATTGTTCAAACTGTTACTTCAAAATGAATCATATCCGTCGCACAGTTAATTAGATTTCAATGTTTACTTGGTAAAGCCGAACGAAAATAAAGATACTGTTGTTTTTAAATTTTCTGAAGAGCAATTGAGCCCTCTTGAATATTAATCAGTCAAATTGCCATCGTTGTAATGTTGACAGTGTAGTACGATCTCAGATTCCAGATGTCGGCTGTTCGATGCTGTAAATCACAACGTTATTAGAAATAGTGTTTGCTAGTCAACTACTCGCCTGTTATTAGCAAAAATGTAGTCTTGTGCTATATACTTGGTACCATGATATATTAATGTTGAGTTTCTCGATAGTGGAGAAGTAATGAATAGAGTATGTAAATGAAGGTATGCAGTTTATTCTCAACTTAATAATGCACTTTTAAGCCTAATTTGTTCTAGTATATTTGTGAGGTATATAAGCTTTATAAAAGAGCATTATAAAAATTGTAATAAAATCAGGAAGATAAATGTCTTATCACAGTATAGTACTATATTCGGCTTTTTTAGGTATTACTACAGTTCATTTATATTTAATGAAATCGTAGGAACTGAAAATCCCTTTTCTATAGATAAGCTGGGAATATTTATTGAAGTTTTCTTTTACTTTAGATCTAGTTTTTGTACCCAGGTTATAATAATCTTAAATAAAAGGTCTAAAGCACATATAAAAATATTATTGTCTTCGCATTTAAGCATTATATAGATTAGGTAAAACATTTTTGTAATTTGTATATTATTAAGCATTGTGAATTATATTTAGTTGTATTTCTTTATGTTTATATCACTTTTGGGATATTGATATGATTAAGACACTATGTATCCAAATGGTTGTAAGTCTTCATAACATAGTAGTGCTGGAGTTCTCAAACTTTTATTATTACAAAGCCAGTGAACAGGTTGCCTCTTATTTAAAGACCCCACAATAAATTTATAAAAATAAGAACAAAAAACATATATTGTTATTTACCAATGAGTGTCTCTTAGTAAACTCAAATTACTTCATTCAATGACTCGAATGTAATATTTGCTGCCTTGTACTTAAAAAATATTCAGTATTTTAGTAGATGAGTGAATAGCTCGCGGAGCCCCCAGGTTTCTCTCGTCGAGCCCTGGGGCTTCGTATGTAGCACTTTGAGAACCTATTCAATAGTGGACACCTAAGACTAATAATAAAGCCAGCTAGAGCTGAGGAAGTGTCTCTTAACTGTTGGGCATATTACCTTACATTGTATTGTGTGAAAAGATGATTTAGAGTACGACATATTGCCATGTTTGGTTCAATACCAATGTCTTTTTTATTCCTAATAGCAGTATCCTGAGTTTCCTGCATAAAGCCACATTAAAAATAAATATACTTTTTTAGGGACTGTGTTGTAGACTCTGTATTGAAATCGACAGATATTTATGGGATGCATTTAAATTTCAATTTGCGTTTGCCCTTATTTGCATTTGTTTATTCCTTCCGTTGTCATATATTAATAAAAACCTATGGGTCCATTATCTGTAGCAATCCAGAAACCTTTTTACAGCAATCATATCAGTATTCCTTTCAAAAATAAACTTTTGGTATGCGAATAGGATTTATGAATTTGTTACTTTTTGTCGATCCAATGTTTGTTCTAACATTTACCATTGTTTTACAATGTTTGTTTTCAGGCATACACCCAGCATTCCTACTCTATCGTTAGTTGAAGCCACACCTCCAAAAGCAAGCAAAATTTCAGCAGCTAAAAGTTTACCTGACCTCACTGCCTCTTCTACTTCAAAAATACCTCAGGTACGACATGTGGATTTAAATTTCAAATTTGTGCGTATTAGATATGGATTCAATAATAATAACCATAGTTATATAAGAAACTGATACAAAGGAGTTTATTAATAAGATGTAGGCCTACACCTTTTTTGTCAATAATACTCTATTTTATGAGAAAACTTACATAGCATAAATTAGAATTTCATAGGCCTACTGGTACTTTATTAATAATTGTTGTAGGTGTTTGAAAACTATTAGAAAAGTTTTCTGAGTAAAGTTTCAAAGATCGTTTGCTTGGAATATTCAGGACTGGGGGAAATGCTTAAAGTTGAAATTCTTGTTGTTGATTTTGTCTATTTCTGTGTATCAAATATTCCTGAAGGATATTACAGCACTAGGAGCAACACAAGGCCCAAAACTAATCAATTCGTTAATTTTGCATTGTGATTTTTATGGTGTCTATTTACATGTTTTTGTGCTGTCAAGTTCTAATATTTTAAATCAATTTGTCTTCTTTGTGACAGGCTTGGGTTTAGCTATTTTCTCATAACCTTGTCATGAATGTTTGGTATTATTTTAGTCCTAGACTTATTCACATTCTCAGCCATTGTCTGTTTACGTCACCACTTTAGGGTGATACCATAGCCTGGAATTCTATTTGATGTTTTCAAAGGTTCTTTGTGATTATTACAACATTTCTACTTAAACCGATGCTGACCTATCATGTCCGATAAATAATAAATGAAACGCCGACATAGAAAACACATTAAAATTTCATTTTTCCTTTTTTCTGAAGTTTCAAATTTCTGATTTCAGAATGTGAGTCCTGTTGGCAAGATTCCTCTCGCTGCTCGTATGTCACTCGATACTCTCTCGAATAACACTCGGAAAATAGGAAATATGCTCGAAATTTCACTGCGAAAAGGTGGGATTATGTGTTTTTGTATGAAACGTGCATGATATGAAGATAACTTGCATTGTAAATGTATATGATCATACTTGGCAAGTAAATTGTCATTTATGTAGGTAAATATTTATGAGTGTCTGTATTTTGAATTGGGATGGGATTAGATTGGTTTAAAGTTGTTGAAAACCTAATATTATTAGATTTGAAGAATTAGTTTCATCTATATTTAAATTGATCATATCATGATTCTTCATTATTATAAGTTTTGAACTTGACAAATAGTTTGTAAGGAGACTATGTTCAATAAAAAGTTAAATTTCTAGATAAGGTTGCAGATTCTAATCTGTTCTAAAATTATCATATTTGGCAGAAATGTCTTTTATAGTATTTTCCATCTCTCTTTATATCTTTATACCCAGGCAGGTAGTGGGGTACTCCCGTAGTATGCGTACCAGGCTAGGGTTAGGCCATCATTTTATTCTGATTTTCCTTATTTTAGTTTTATTACGAGTTTGGGACTGTCTTTGTTAGCCAATGGAATATACCTCCTGCCCGTGGGCTTCCGTCTCTTTACACAACTTGATGTAAAGTAGGCGAACAAAATTAGTTACCTCCATATTGGTACACACTCTTCTGGAGCGCCGGTAATGTTACTAGAGACTTGCTTCTCCACAGGATTAAATTTTTTCGTGTGTAATATTTTGTACGGTTTGACTTATTATTAGGACAATCAGAAGTCTCGTTCGAATAAGGCTTTGCAATTATATTCGAGAGCCAAAAACACTCAGTTCAAAATATTAGAAAAAAGCAATTCAAGAGTGTGAAACACTGAATATTTTAATCATAACTTTTTCACTTATTTGTAGGTGAACAAGGTCTTGGATTCAGCATCACAACAAGAGATACTTCTATCGGAGATGCTGGACCAATTTACATTAAAAATATTTTACCTAAAGGTGCAGCTATACAGGATGGAAGACTACATGCTGGTGATAGGTAGGTTTTGCTAATCTAATAATAGTAAAAAAGTGGGGGCGCGGGTTATTTTATTTGTAATGAAAATTGGTTGAAACAATACTTTGTTCTATATAAGCTATCATATAGATCTATTGTTTTCTGATAAGGATCAAAAATGCATGTTTATGTATGTTGTGCCATTTTGGTTAATAAACATCGGTCTACAAAAGCTGGGTTGATATGACAAACCATAGATGTGAAATTAAATGAATGGCATAATAACCAATTTTTAGTTTTTTTCTTTATACAGTATATATATATACATACTTAAATTTAATTGTGTGGTTTCAAATCAGACTAACATCCTTGTTTGGAAAGATTTTGTATTTCACGGAGTTCTGATATTTTGAAATATCCTTTGTGTTTAGGTTGTTAAAAGTTAATGATATTGATATGACTGGTTATACGCAAGAGTCAGCAGTTAGTATACTAAGATGTATTGAAGTTGGATCTACAGTGACGTTACTTGTAAGCAGACACGTCAATACACTGCCCAGGAAAATGGTAAGATTTTTATGATAAAACATACTGATTAATATAAAATCAACTCATCTTTGTTAGTTAGTTAGTCTTGTATTGTATTGTACCTTTTATATGAAATTTTACCATAGGAAAATCACATTAGATTCAATAACAAGTAGCACTGCCTTTGTTAAATAACAGCGCTTTTCGCTGTCAAGTTTTTTTACGGTTGACATGTGTTTGATTTGATGATCATAAAGATTTGGTAATGAACCGCAAACAACTGGTGCACAAAAATTAATATACATTTCAAGGAGATTCGCTTTTCTGTCACCAAATTATGATTGGTTACTCTAAAACGAGTAATGGCCTAACAAAGGGTGGTCCAAGGTTGCGAGATTGAAGGGCCTCAAAAAATTTTGAGGAGGCCTTGCGGGCCGCAGTCAGGAAAACCTAAGAGTGATAAAAAAAAAAATGCTCAGTTGGAATAGCTGAAAATAACTCGAACAATTTTCTGCTAATAAATACAAATATCTTCCAATGGATTAGTGTACGCTAAAATTGTTATGCGGGTGGCAAAAAATGTCCCAGGGTTAGGGTTTGGACCATCGTTATCTAACAATTGGAATGCATTTGGAAATGATAAAAAATCATGATGAAAATTATTTTAAGATCCTAAAAGCTTCAATTAATTTATTTATAAAATTATTTTAAAAATTTTATTTGTAGAAAGATGACCCAGATGCGGACAAGGTGCTGAATGATGATAGTCATCGAGAATATTTCAAATTTGAAATTGCATTGAATGATACTGGTAAGACTGTTTATTCTTATGATCTTATTGTAATAATTAACGTGTAGAACCATTACTGCGATTGCGAACTCATCCTATTAATTATTTTGTCAGGTTCTGCTGGTCTTGGTATAAGCCTGAAAGGTAATCAGAGTAAAAAGACTAAACGAGACCTTGGAATATTTGTCAAGTCTGTTTTTCACGGTGGAGCTGCATATCAAGTATGTATCAAATTTCAAAAGGGTCAAACTGCATGACTCTGATATATTATTGTATAGTACTGGTGGTGGTAATATGATATGTCGTGTGAAAATTTTCGATTCGTGTAATTTCCAAACAACAATTTGCCTGTTTTAGAATACATGCAAGTTTGATGTTGCTATATTATTAATGAAGATAGCAATGTGACCTTCTTATCTGGGATAAGAATTTTTTTACTTTCTCAGTTTGTATTGTGAAAATAATTTTTTTTTTTTTTCTAGGATGGCAGGTTGCAACCGAATGACCAGCTTGTTTCTGTAAATGGTCAATCGTTAATTGGAATGACCAATCACGAAGCGATTGATACACTACGTACATCCATGTCCACTGTAGGAAATGTTAGAGGAATGATACAGGTATATATAGCCTTGTTTTAACTGTTTTATTCCGCGTTGATCATCAGCACATGCCATACATACGGTAGTTTATGAGAAAACTTCATCTATGATCTATGTCAGCTGGAATTCTCTTGCCAAATTTGAGTTGTGATTTTTTTTTCAAATTTTAAATGAAACACTTTTACTGGTTTTCGTAAATTTAAATTTTATTATTTCAACACATATTTTACAGTCATAACATCTGAAAAACTAGTCACAATGGGGTCAGGTTATACTTCCAGGAATTCAAAGTCTGTGAATATCAGTTATTGAAGGAAAATACTTCCTATTCTCTCATATTATTAAACACAAAGCTACCAGGCTACCATGTATCAACCTTTTGCAATAATCTTCTTGTACTACTTCACAACTTTCATATTATTATTTTACCAGATGGTAATAGCAAGAAGGAAACATACAAATGGAGATCCAACTTCTCCCAATTTTTCTTCAGAAGCCAGCAGTGAATTATCTGACTCTATAATCAATGAAAGAACTTCGAGACTTTGTAAGTAGAATCCTATATCATCAACTAGCAAACCGTAACAATATAACCAAACCAATCCTGTAATCTGCTTTAGTTAGCTGGTCATCGCATGAGGTGATTTTAATATTGCAACATTGCTTAACATGCAATCATCAAATTAGTAGCTTATAGTTAAATATACTTTATCTTAAGTGTTTACCTCTATATATATTTTTATCAAAATTGTTCAAATGAACTTAAAAACTTAGTGCAGATAATACATTTATTGTTTCCCCATCTAAACTAGGTTTTTCATTTTAATTCTTACCAAATTTTGCCTGCTACAAAAGAAATCAAATTTTATGTTGTTATTAAGAGTTGTAGGGATTCTAATATATTTACAAGTAGGCATTCTGTTTTCCAAGGAGACCGACCTGTGCATGACCTGAAAGGGTTTTTTGAAAAAGTATAAAATGCTTTTAAAGTGATTATGATGGAAAGTTAGACACTAGACCTACATTCAAATAAGTAGTAGGAGGCATAATGAAATATGGTATATGCTGAATTTAACAACAAAATAATTTTATTTTTGCGAAACAAAAAAAAAATTTGATTATTCTCCCTTTTCTGAAAAATAACATAGATTGAACTGTCTTAGGATCCTATTGCCCCCCAAATTTTTGTGGATCCAATCGAGAAGCTAGTACACACAATGTGACTACTTTTTGTTCAAATGGGAAGATTGCATTTAGCTGATGCACTTTCTCATAAAAAAATATGTGTTTGGCAGCTAATGAAGAAAACCAGCATCATAGGCAAATATCTATGCCTACTGATTTACGTGACAAAGCGTTGTCGCCAAATTCATTGCAAAGATACTTTTTAAAAAATGGGATAAATCACACAAAACGTTTATCAGAACTGAGTTTCAATAGCTCAGTTTTATCAACATCGCTCGGAGATGACGCTATTTATGAAGATGACGAAATTTTTGATCAAGAAATTAGAAGCTTTATGGATAATATACCTTCAAATGAACGAAACAACTTATCCCCCTTGCCAAGATCATCGAGGGTAATTTCACCTGAACGAAGCAACTATTCTCCCTTGCCAAGATCATCGAGGGTAATTTCACCTGAACGAAGCAACTATTCTCCCTTGCCAAGATCATCAAGGGTAATTTCGCCAGCGGTTGTGAGGCGTTCCTCATCTATGAAACGACGTTCTTATGTGAAAACTCCGACTAAAGAACAATTTACATTTGCGGATACGATTAATCGTTACACATCTCATTCTGCTTCGTCACCCACTTCTCCGCAATATAAAAACATTATTGGGGATTTACTCCGAAGTGCGGCCATAGATAATCACTATAAACCAAGATTACTTACTCGATCGAGTACTCCTTCTCGTAAACTGCCTTCAAGATCTCACTCAATGCGAGCTTACTCACATAAAAACCACTCTGATTCTCGTACAACACGAACGATTGGTCGTATCGCCAAAGACAAGATATCAAGTTCCACTGGGCGCAAGACAGAAAAAGCTGAGGAGTCTCCTTTCGATAATATCACAGGTACAAGCTCGAGACATGAAATGGATTTCATTGTATGTCGATTGATCCTGGTATGCTCTCACACCTAGAAGACATTGGAATTGATTGCTCATTTGCATTGTAGCTTGTTGTTTGAGGATTTTCTTTGTGCTTGTGTCTTTTTGCTCATCATCATACTCTTAGAATGTCATTTCATTTATTTTCTAATTCCATCATTCGTTTGAATTATAAATACGTAGAAACAAGTTGGAGCATATTCTATAGAAAACATAAATCTTTTGCAAAGCCTCCTAGCTTACTAAAAATGTTGGCTACAATCATACACCAACAGAAATGCAATTGTTTATGAGGGGTTAAATAAATTAGGTGTTAAATAAAGTAGAATTTATTGATAAATTTAGATTATGGGATTTCTTTTTTGGTCCCCTTTAGCTGTACTAAAACTAAAATAAATATACTCAAAATAGTCGCACTGCATTGCAGTTTTGTGTTCCGATTTCTACTGAGAAATTCATTAGCACTGGCATACATCCACAGATCTGTTCCAAATCTAAAAAGCTTGTGTTTAAAATGCAAAACAAATCGCATCAGACTATTCAAATGTTAATAATGGATTGCTAACCAACCCACGCCACGCCCACGTTATCTGACTCACATTTCTTTGAAATGCATTTTACTAATATCAGTGCTTGGTTTAATTTTGCTTTCCTATTTAGAAATTAATCAATCTCATAACACTGAAAACAAAGTATTTTCATTTCAGTTCATTAACAAAGATTTGAATTTCTTAAATTTATATTGTCATATTTTATGACTAACACTCACTAATTGCTTGATCTTTTTTTGCATTTATTCTTTCTGAATAGAAATATTCTCTCATATTTTGTATGTGACAGAGGGTACTGAGATATTGTGTATTGCCTGGACTGCTGGTTCCTGCACCTTGTTAACTTCTAAATTTGGTTTCATATAGGAACTTTGACGATTCATGGCCCACATGTGGCAGGGGGTGCAGTTCCAGAAACTTTCAGTTAAGACTATGATCTAACGAAAGCTTACAATATAGAGAGATTATGTCCTCGTCCTGTATTATTCTAAATGAATAATTTGAGAGTGATGAAGCATTCATGTTAATAATGAAATTTAAATTTATATTACTTTTATCACTATGATAACATTTTTTACAAATGCTTGAGGTATAAATTGTATGATATCATTCTGGATACTTACTCATTTTGCATTCTGTTTCATAAACTAAATTTGAAGAACAAACTGAAGGCATGTTTAATACTAAAACCACTATCATTGCATCATGTATAGAAAAAGAAGAAGAATATTTCATTTTGTATAAGTTTGATTTTTATTCCGAAAATGAATAATAGTCATTTTATAGGTTTTGAAAGCGTTTTGTTTAAATTGTGAAAACTATTTTTTAGGTAGTTTGAACTTTTTAGGATTAATCACTGCTGTTTGTATTATCAATATAATTAGGCTAATGTGCTTAACACTAGCGCATAGATGCATAATCAATGTGTTGTTGAAAAACATGGTGGTTTTATTTTTATTCTAAAAGTTGGGTTTTTGTTTTGAGTTTCTAGATTTGTGGAATATATACGAAATGTAGAATTGTTTATTATTTTGATTATCAACTTATTATTACCACAATACAATTTTTTTATTTTAAATATTATTTGTCTTATTTTAGTCAGTTTGCAAGAGATAAATATCAATATTATTATTCTCTTCCAGCATTTGAGATCACTGGATCTTCCCGGGATGAAAATTCGGTTGACGATTCTTATCGATATAACGAAGAAATACCTGAACAGATTGATCCTAGCCCATTAGATGGATATGTCAATGATGAGAACAGAAAGTATAGCGATTCCATGACAAAGAACCATGGTACGTTTTATACGTCGTTTTTATCATTTTTTTCCCATTATATTGTGTGTGCAATCTTTTTTCAATGACAGTCCTACACTGTGAATAGTTCTAATTTGGCGCAAAATATCAAATTTCATTGAATATATAGTAAATATGGTGACTTGTTGTGAATATAATATCGATTGCCCAGTCACACGTATACATGCATGTCTATTGTTTACTGGCCATTTGTACAAACTTATAAAAAGACTGCATATCTGCTCCTACAATTTACCACACCCTAGTTAAGGGAATAGGCATGCAAGTTTTATGTATGCCCATCTCTATCAAGTAATATGAGTGTTTGTTAAGATTTCAAATTTTTTAAATTTTGAAGGGATTTTACCGATACTATATACTGATATATCTGTACATAATATAGTTTGTTGAATTGTTGGCGTCGCCCCCATGTTGATGTATTAAATGGAATAAAAAAACTTATATAAAGTCTGTTTGCATGCAATACAACAAGCCTGGGTAAGATGTATTGAGTACCGACTTCATAACAAAATTGTAATGGCAACGGTACTGGGACGGGAATGAACAGCCTTCATTACTCTGTACTCATTATGACAAATAAATAAAGTTATCTTACACTTGAAATTTTGCAGATGATGATTGGATGGCAAGTCCTGACCCACAAGATTCTGGCATTGATCCATTTTCTCGAGAATCAATATTTCGCCAATCTATATCAGAGAAAAGAAGAGGTGGAGATGCTGCCAACACTGACACATTTAAAGCATTGAAAAACAAACAAATGAATAATGGCTTAGGTAAGATTGTTTTTTATATCAAACCGGACATTAATGAAGATTTCTATTCATTATTTCATGCCTTCACCCTGTACAAGGCTCTCCACTGATATGGAAAGAGCTTACTATAGTTGAAATGGTCCTACCCAGTTTATCTCGCCCTCGGTGGGGTTGTAGAGTGGGCACAGCGTTTGGAACCGGGCATTTGACCTGTGATGCCAAGGTGGTTGAGTTCAACACTTGAACCGCTAGGATTAAGCCACCTTGGTAATATCGTTAAAACAGTCCAGTTAGCTTGATCAAGGCAGTAAACTCACCCCTATACTGCTATTGAGTGATTATGTAAGTTTTACTTTGCCAAGTATTTATTATCTGTTAATCAAGCTTTTTTTGTCGAGAAGGATTAATCCACATATCATGTTCTAGAACAGAGGTGACAAACCTGCGGCCAGGCAAAGCATTTGGGCGATCCAGTGCATGTTTGGCTTGAAGTAATAACCCTTCATAGACTGTGCATAGAAAACGGGAGCGCCAGTATTACAAATATCACTAACAACGCTATATCCAATACATCTTATTTTGTTGAATCAACAATGGATCCAAATACCCATTGTCTTAGCCTAGTTACGCCGTCTTATCGGCAAACGTGTAGGTATGGAGAAGGGGTACCCTTACTTTGTGAAAATCTAATATTTTGGCGCTTGATACACGGGACATTTAAAAGAGATAAAAAGTTTATATCTTCAAATCACAATGGAAGATCTTAAAAAAATGCCTTCATTTCAAAAATCGGTCAATCGCGAAAGGATGGATTTGTTTAAAATTTCTGTATCCGAAGTCTTGCGAAATATGGATCTTTTGCGCAAAGCCCTCAACACAAATGTGAAATGTGAGAAAAATATCGCGTTCTGGAACAACAAACTAGTAATTATACAGTTGTGGTTAAGAGTTAGAAACGATTTGAGAATTTGAATTTTCATCCCAATCTGCATTTCTCGCCCTAAATCCGTAACTAGACTTTTTCTTTATTTCGAGCGGAAGCGTTGGTGTTTTTTTTATGACGGGGGCTTTTTACAAAAGATCCCGAAATACTTATACGGAGCGTTGTTAACAAGAATTTTGCGAATTAACCTGATACAAAGTTCATAAAGCAAGGTTCGATAAGACTTGAAACTCGAAATACGTTCAAGGGCGCCGTCAGAATTACAAAAAGTAAATCGGAAGAAATCTAGAAATTTCCATGAAACGATCGCCGCAATTAGGCAGGCCACTTGTGAAAAAAACCCACTTCTTCGACAGATGTTTGTTCTGTAATGTTGTCAGATATTGATTTTGCAGTTGCACACAAAGTATTTTTTAATTGGCGACTAATCAGAGTCTATTTACAATGTATTGCCTTATTAATTTAATTGTGTTGTGCGAGTGTTTAATTTAATTGTGCGTCGACAAAAGAACATTATAATAGGTATCATAAAATGGATAGAATGTTGTGCGGCTCGCTTACTTAGCGGTGATTGATAAAATGGCCCGCGATAGCAAATGGGTTCGTCACCCCTGTTCTAAGAATGACAAGGTTGCATGTCTTTTTAGTTGTACCCACCTTATATTTTCAGCAATATAGGTAATGAAATGGCATATTAATTATCAAATTATATATCTGGCTTTTGTCAAATCTCTTGAACTCAAAGCCGCTTTTGTCTATTGCTTATAGTGTTAATTAATAGCTGTGTATTTTGATTTGTTAATAAAGACTTTCATCCAACTAAGTTGAAGAAAGCATTGTCTATCTGTTCAATTGATATAGAGAATATTGAAAATTCAAAACTCAGAGTTGAAAAATATCATCAAGATTGGGATAATGATGGTATCAACAGTAGAAATTATTAGCAAATATCAATTAGGCCTTGTGTTGTTGTTCAGTCATGTCCTGCTAATGTACTTGCAGCTTGAGCTAATGCATAACTTATGTGTCATCTGCTATCAAATTCTAACTTCAATTGACTTCACTAGTTTGCATCATTCTACCGTCTCTCCTAAAAGTATGATTTCTTTTTTCAAATTCCATTCCTACAAAATTTATTCACATACACTAGACAGGCCACTGTGTTATTTTGTCACGAGTTATTTTCATTGAGTGTTAACAAGTACTTTACTATAGACCAGTGTTTCCCAACCCGAGTCCGCAGTCTCAAATGAGTCCGCGAAGCGTTTGAATGAGTCCGCAACGAGCCAGAACTTCACTGCGGGCCGCAAACGTTTTTGCAAAAGGTCAGCCAGGTTACCATTTACGTTAAAATTCACATAAAACATAAAAAGCAAATTTATTCACATAACATTAATCAAGTCAATTATTACTAGTTACTGAGTATGGCTGGGCATATATTCGAATATTCAACTATTAGAATAGCAATTCACTATTCGAAAATTTGGTAACAGGTGATGCGACAGGTCGAAACGATTGGATTTCACAACTCACTTGCGAATTCCCGACGGCGACGAAAACCCGAGCACACGCGTGGTGTTTCTCGTGAGTTCGAACAACGAGAAATAATTTTTTTTAGTAGGTGGTAATGGTGGCAACCCAAATTTTCTAAATTGAAAAGCGGCAATACAAAAACTGAAAATAAAACGGAGAACACCATAACTTTTGTTTTATAATTGTACGCGATCGATTGAAAACGCTTCTTTAGACATTGCAAATCGCAAAATTTCGGGTGATACTGTAGTATTTAATGTACCAGGGCCTTTTCCCTTAGGCTTCCACATTGGTACGTACAGAACTGGAGCGCCATAAGTGTTGTACGAACAGCTCAGTTTTGTTGAATTCACAAAAATACGAATCAAAACAAAATATAATCGGGCACATTACCACGCATTTTTGTGTCCACGGATTGTCATGATATTTTCTGATTGGTATTGCTTTTATTTCGTCAAAACAACCACAGGTTAAAATGATTACCATTAAATTCATAATAAAGTAAGGCGGTATTTTTTATTTACAAATATACTTTAAATATATTTTTAATAAGAACTAAATCAAGTTGTACTTTCTGGAAATTTATAGCAGATAGTAGGATTTTTCCAACGACGATAATAAATTTGCAAGATCTCTAAGAATATGTATCAAAACTAAATATAATCGGGCAATATGTTATCAGATTGCTATGGCATTGTCGTAAGTCGACTCAACGGCGAGTTACCAGGAACACAATTAAAATAGAAAGACATTTTAAATTCTCGTCGTTGTCATGGATTGAATATAGTGGGATAGATAAAGCCATTATACACTAAAAAAATCGACTCTGCTTACGGAGGCGTAATTGCGCGAAATTCCGATTTTGAAATTAGTTTAAATTCCGTTGTGTTTGGTTTTATTGCTTCTTCACACGAACGGTTGCAATAAACGCACCTTGAGTCCGCAAAGATTTTCACCGGTGAGAAATTAGTCCGCGATCAAAAAAGGTTGGGAAACGCTGCTATAGACAGTACTATGATCTACCATAATAATATCTTTATTGCTCGAAAAAAAAACTATATATTTCAATGTTGTTGTATAGGCTGTTTGACACTGAAAAGTTCACCCATTTAGTTTTAACCTAAAATAATGTTATTTGTTTGAAATGGATGTTAATATTTGAATCACACAGTTGGTGTCAATTTTTTCACAAGCATTAATAAACAAAAAATATATTTGAATGCATAATAGCTAATTGCCTTTATCATATGTACCTCTTTCACCCAATTTATTTCACACTCGATGAGATGGTATTCATTTTATATGTTACTCTTTTAAGTAGCGATTGAGATATATGGCTATTATAACTTTGTCATTGATAGTTCTTTACATGTTGATTAGGTACTCCAGAAGTATGTGTACCAAGTTAGGGTTGGGCCATAGTTCGACTATTCCGATTTTCCTTATTTTAGTTCTATTACGAGTTCGGGGACTGCCTGTGTTAGCCAAGTGAATATCTCCTTGCCCATAACTACGTTTCAGTCCCTTTACACAAATTGATGTAAAATAGGCGAAAAAAATTAGTTACCGCTATATCGGTACAAATACTGGAATGCTGTTGATTATACTTAAACTGGCGATGAGTTGATTTGACCTCCTAAACTAAATTATTTATAGATTTCTAATCAACTATTCTCTAACAGAAAAGAAGATTTCATCATCACCGGAACCCAGGAGTCCAACACCAAAGAGTCCTTCGTTGAAATGGGTGAAACCAACACACACAAAAAACCATTCTATCAGTTCATCATCTACAACACATTCATATACTCCGAAGTCACCTACGAGACGTTCACCAAGAGTATCAAAACGAAATTTGAACAACAGCAGTAACTTACCAGGTTTGAACTTTATTGCATTGATTGATATCTACCAAGAATGAACAAAACTTGAATAGCAAAAACAAAACATTTCATTTTTTATGCTCTGTTTTTGCACAATCATGCTGCTTGTCAAATGTTGGTACCACAGATTAATTTGCAATTTACAACATAGGTTTGAATTTGTGTATATCTGGTTAATTGAGCCCATATTTTATCTAGGTTTGGTACACCATATGATTAACCCAACATGCCCGATTTCCTGCTCTTTTAAGTGGAATATAAAGTTTACACTAAAGAAAATGAAACTTCTAGTTTAATGAATATAAAACATATATGTTATGAAATGTATTATTGATGCCATTCATCTCTTTTGTTCTTATTCTTAATCGGAAGAAAACTTTTTTGTCATTTTTTTACGATTTGCTTTTCATATACTATGTTTTTGATAGTATAGTTTGTGAAAAGTCTTTGCGAGTGAGGCTATCTGTAACATTGAAGCTAATGAAATAATTGCTTATAGTGACTTGCCATTATTGCGATAATTTTGCATGAAAGTATAATTCATTTTTGCATGGTTTTTTGCAAATTTAATAACTTTAGTTCAATTTTATGCATTATTAATTTCTGCATGATTTCGCATACTTTTCATTTTGCTATATCCAGGGTCACAGGATGCTTTTACAGAAGAAAACAAAAGGTCCCATACCCCACTTAGTTTCGATTACCGATCCACCACCCCATCATCCCTGTCCCAGTTATCCCAAGGTTCTCATCATTATGCATCCATGACAGCGTTAAATTACTCACCCCTGAAACCCCTCAATCCATCTAATTACCCCACTATCACAGAAACGCCAAAATCGAGTAAAAATTCCATCGGCCATTCATATTCTAGTGATCCACAATCTCCTGTTCCTGTCGTTAGAAAATCTAATTCTTCCGATTCTCTGATGACATTTGGTCTGTATACAAAACAACCCCCACCATCACCCACATATAAGACAACTTCACCTAACAAAAGTGGGACAAGTCGCGGTGTACCTTATGTTAAGCCTCCAGGTACTAAAATAGATATGTAGATGTGCGGGTGTTATAATATAGAAACTTATGTCGATTATCTTCTTTCTATATAAATTCTGGTGTTTTTAGAAATGACAGTCCGAGCTTTATATATAAATTTTAATGTGGTTGCCTTAATAGCTCGGGTGATGTCCAAAAAATTAAACTTTGGTGATAATTCAAAAAGCATGGTCTGGAGAAAATTTAGGTATTTGAAATTGGTGTGACGTTCATTTCAGTAATCTAGTACCAATATGAGTTTCTTTTTGGTCCAATATCATTTTGTGTTAATAAGAATTCACATATTGGTATTTACAATGATTATAGTATTAAGTAATAAAATTGGGTAATGAAATATTATCGATAAGTCTTATTGAGACACATAAGCATAGTCTTGATCTTTGTACCTTTCCTGGAAAATTTGATAGCAGCGTTTTTCTTTACAACTGGATGGACCAATCCCCTTCAAATCATCAGTATGACTTTTTTCCAAATAGGAACAAATTTCTAGTTTTTTGTATTCTTGGGGCTTGTATTCGCTTTTCAAAACCTTTCAACTTCTCTATCTGGGTGTTGATATTTTTAGTTATCCCCTTCTTTATCATATTCTCTGCCAGCATTGCACAAGTTTGTTCGGAACATATCTGAATATGGCACCTCTTAGTGTCCTTGAAATGAAATAAATAATATTGTTTGATTAACTATTTATTGAGTTTGGAATACCGGTGGAGAATTGAATAAATAACAAAAATCTCTTTTATTAAGTGAATCAAGCCATCAATGTATGATCACACATCGACAATTTGATTCGCTTCTCCTTATTTTGCTCCACATTCCTAAAGTATCCCTGGCCAGATTTAGATTATGCTTGATGCAATTTTGCATGTTACTATTAACTTATTTATGCATGCTCTCAATAATTTCTCTATTTGTTTCTTTATTTTCCTGTTTATCCTTCTCTTCTTTTTTATCTTATGTTTCTTTCCTTATTTCTACCTCCATTTCACATTGTCCTCTTTTCTTCTCGAATACTCTCTCTATTTCTTGTTTTGCCTTTCATTTTTCTCTATCAGTTCTTCCCTATTCTGATCTGAAGCATCTTGCTACATGTTGCACGCCAGTATCATTAGGACCATTCACATCGCCTTCATATGAACGACCGAGACATCCTTTGACAGCACGGAGAGAACCGACTCACTTTGAACCAGAAGTTGATGTAGGGCCAACGCTCGGAATAGCAAAATCAAGCTCGTTGGAAAGTCTTCAAACTGCTGTGGAAAATTTTGTCGAAAATAAAGATGCACCTTATCCAAAACCTCAGCCAAGGGTAAGTAAAATAAGTGTGTTTTAAATTATAATATATTTCCACAGTTTTCTAATCAGCGATCTTTAAGTTAAACCGGACATCGACCGGACAGGTTGTGAGTACGATGAACATTTGCATTTACTAAATCTAAATTTGACATGTCTACTGAAACGTAAACAATTTTTTTTTCTGTCATCCTATTTCTTTTGAAATTCTTTTAATGGAACAATATATTTAATGTTTTCAAGCGGCCTTTCAGTAAAACCAGACATTGACTCAACAGTTTGTGATTACGGCAAACTTGCACTTTAATAGATTTGACATCTCTACTGAAGCATATACAAAAATTATTTCCTGTCGTTCGATTGCTTCTTCAAATTTTATCCGTAATTATTCTGAAACCAGAATGTAATATAGAAGAGAATATTTAATCTAGATTTCGTTCATCTTCATTATATTTTATTTTGAAAAATTGGAATTTTTCTCATTTTCTAACGAAACATTTTTTTAGGTTTTACGAGGCAGAGTTTTAAATGAAAGTTTTCGAGCAGCTTTAGATCAGTCTTATGATATGGAAAATTTGAGTGGAAAACCGATGGCAACTCGTAAGTTCAGTGTGATAGCCTTTATCTATCTGTTCTAGTGTCACCAATTATTTTGGTCCTAATAATAATGAATCAAAGTAATGATGTAACAAATTCTAACTTGTTATGTAGAAAATAATAAACACTTTTGAATAATAAAAAAAGAAAATTGTCATATAAAGAATCTAATACATGATTGTCATGATAAAACATATATATTGCTATATTAAATATCGTATATCTTTTGAAGTTTATCTCTAACTAAATTTTATGCTGCTAGCTTTTGGTTTATGGTTAGTTCAATATTTATTTGCACTATTTGCTAATTACCTTAAAAATATGTTCACAGTATATTTGAGAAAAAGTTACTGTGAAATGCTATTAATATCTATTTTTTTAATCTACTTCTTTTATATCTATACTAATTATAGCTAACTAACCTTGCATTTACTTTTTGTAGTGGTATGTTTGACTAATTTTTTTTATTTTTCACTCATTTCATACTCACTTTCGCTGTGAACTCACTCATCAACCACTCACTCACGTGTGCAATTACCACTCATCATCCACATCATGAAATTCCACTCTCTGTATGCCTTGGAAATTTTTTATTTTTTCGGGTAGGTACATGTCAGAATGTTATTTTTATTTGTTTAAATTTTTTTATTTATTCACTATTTAAGATTAGCCGTAAACCAAGAGTAGCAAAACACTAAAATTCATCATTTCAAATACACTAAGAAAAATATGTCATAATCTAGAGTTTGAATATATATTTTAAATTAAGCCGTGTTCAAGAATAGACACTTCTAAGGTCACAACCCCTTCCAATATATCAAAATTATCCACAGCCCCTGTTAAGTCGACATTGTTATGCAAGCTCCGCTTCTTGGTTCTTGTGACCAAGGTCGTTATGCAAATGTCCGGCTTCACTGATCCTATGTATTTTCTCAAAATCGTGAGGTTTTCTGTTTTGCATTAGTATTAATAATTGTGCTTCGAAACAAAAGTTAAACCAATGGATATAGTAGCCTACTCGTGTGAAATTGGTATACTCTTTGTGACCCCTGAAATTCATTCCATGCCCCTCTGAGGGGTTGTAACCCCCAGTTTGGGAACTCCTGTGCTGCTAAATGACACATTTTTATATTTTTCTGAAATCTAAAATTTAAACTTTACATCAAATATAACTAATTTTGAATATATTGTATCCTTGAATAAATTAATTACAAACTTTTTTGTTGATCAAATCTTTAGGTTTGTAATGTGAAATAGTTTTGTGAATTCGCATCTATTTATTCTTAAACTTGTTCAAAATCATTTAATTAGTTTTTCAGTTATTTGTATCCGGGGATATGATACATCACCAAGTATCTTATTTTAAACGAATTATCCTTCAATTTGCAGACATGTTCGCAGCACTTCTGATTTTTATTGAATTAATATTTTAGACTGCGAAACTAGTTGCATAGTAACTAGCAGCATTTAATTCCCTTTGTATAGCCTATATAGTAGTGCATTGCTAGATTGTAGCAAAATAAAGCTCTTAGCTGTATTTCATAATTTTTAAACAATTACTAAATTTTTTATTAAAACAATTGTTTTCTTTTATGAAAATTCAAAAATTTTTATTATTGCTTAGTTCCTGTTTCCACGATTATTGTTCCATTTTGAAACAATATTTTGATATAGGCCTATGTCATATTTCACAAACAAGTTGTATCTTCAAAGGATCAGCTAGTTTGATATTCTACTTATGGAAAAAAAATTGTTCACATATTCTAAAGTTATGAAATTCTTAAAGTTTATATCAAGATATTGCATCAACATTGTACAATTCAAAATTCTTTGCAGAAAAAATCTGTGAATAGGAAACTGTTCAAATATTGATATTTATTTTTATTTCAATATTTCATCGAATGGTTTTCACTCGTTTTTCACGACGGTAAATTTCTATTAAACAGTGAGAGAAGAAGGAACAGGCATCAGTCCATTAGCAAGAACATCTGGTAGTGCTCCAACAAGTGGACAACGCGCACATGAAAAAAAGAGAGCTGGAAAAAGTTACAAAATATTTGGAATCTTCAGGTACTGTTACTGTTTTATTAGAATATTACTATCAAAATTAACTTCAGCGCAGTTTGATGTTATTGGACAAGAAATGGACCTATGGATCATTTTGTTGTTGTTGATCTCCTTGTTACTATTTCTTATTGTTACGAAAAAATCGCTTTTTTCATCACCTACTGGACCAATTGCTTTCAAATTTTCAGTATTTAAAGATTGTATTTTTTGCTAGAAGGCAATTACTTCCATTTATTTCCAAAATTTCTGTGGCCTCTATGGGATTTGTTTTTTTGTGAGCGATGACGTAGCAAAACAAAATATGCGCTCCTAGCAGTTCCGCTTTCGTGTGAGTTCAAATCTGATGTAATACAGTACCGGTGGGCTACTGTGACAAATTGCATACCCATAACACTTCATGTCAACATATTTGATCATTGCTCGCTCGTGTTTATTACTAACTATAATATTTCAGAACCGTCTATTCTAAAATTATTTATACTTTATTATTTATATTCTAATTATATAGTTCTAAACTAGAAATTTCCATATCTTATTCTTATATTTATCAACACTCAGAGACAGAAATTCAGTGCGTAAAAAAGGTAAAGTGTCAGAAGAAATACATCAATGGGAAGTACAAGAAAAGTTTAATATTCAAAATAGCAGAATATTTTCAAGGAAAACCTTGATAGCAATTTTCAGTTGGCCGACATATTTTCCTTTTCCTTGTGATCTAATTTAGTCGCCTTTCTTTCAAGATGGCATTCAAGGAAGATTTTAGTATATCTGGTGCCACTACCAGATTATAATTGATTACATCTAGATAAGCCAGTTTGCATTTATTGCATTTTTGTCATCAGAAGATAGGTATGTTTTTAGGATATATCAATCAGGAGATTTTGTTTTTATAATTTGTGAGCAGTTACGTTTTTTTGGTGCATCTATAAATTGTTGGGAAGGTTGGAGTATAATAAACATGAGCAGGAGTTCAGAATTCGTATAAATATATTATTTGTTGGATTAATTGATTCATAATACTTTTATTATTTTGAGTTGCTGACTGTTGTCTGTTAAATTCTTCCCGTTTTCATTCCACACTGAAGTATATTTCGAATATATTTGAAATCACTGCCAAATGAAGAAAAAAGTTAGTATTATTGGCATACCAGCAGAATTTGAATTCCAGTTTGAATTTTTATTATATCTGCTTGCTGGGATCAATTGCTAAATAAACTGACAATTAACCACTGATTTCTAATTTGTAAGTCATCAGCATACCAATAGCTTTATTGTCAAGTCCTCAGAGTGATGAGCGATTGTCTTTTCCAATATTTTAATGTTGTATTTGAACCATTGAAATAATGAACCCTTGAATTTTTTCCGTAAAAGTTGCCATTCATATTTTCATTCCTATAATATTAAGTTTTTGCCTTTTGTTGGTTATTAAATGAAATTTTTATGCAACAATCAATAATTTTTTTATATTACTGTTTATCATCTCATGACAATTTGTTATTATTGTAATAATTTGTTTCTTTGCTGTTTTGATTGTTTCCACCATTTCATTTAAGGTATAATGTCAGAGCCTCTTTTTCTGTTTGTTAGATTGTAGCTAAGTCAGATTAGGAAATCAGCTATAATTTATAGATATTATTTTAGTATGAAAAGGTAGAAATGAAAATAAAAGTGAAGTCAAAACGTCGAATTGCATAGCATAGTTTCATTGTTCAGAAGTTACTCAGGAGTTAGCCAGTGCAGGTGAGCTAAAAACAGTATTTTTTGGTAGGTTTTTGAACTAAACAGGCAGGAATAGGAAATATTTTAGTAAGTTATCCACTTCACAAGAACCATTGAAATGCTATAGGCGACTTTCGATGCCTGGAATTTTATGTACCGGTACTTTCAAAGCATCTAAATAAATCAGAAATGAAACCTATGGAACAAAATTCCGATTGTATGTAATATGTATCAGAAACTCATTGTGATCTCATAAAAACATTGCGAAATATGGGCGATATTACTTGATTTTTTGTTTGTTTTTTAGAGTTGGCAAAAACAAGAGAAGTCAGTCATCAGATCGACATCTTGATTCATTTTCATCAAATTCATCTTCAACATCATCACCACGTCTTCCTGAGAGTGAAGCTCATAAAAAATTACTCGAATCTAAACGTGAAGATGATTTCAAAAAGCACCAAGCAGAGAATGAAAGGTAAGGAATTGTAATTTAAAATTCTGTTAACTTAAAGATAATTCAGAGAGTTTTATGGGATTCCAAATTATTCAAAATAGCCAAATTTTCGATAATTTTTTTGTGTACTGAAATCATGATCCTTTACTATTCTATATTGAGAGGCGCAAGCCAATAAATCAGCTTAATCGTAATATGACGAACCATGTTCTCTCATACAGTTACTAGTCCACATTCGGTATAATAATTTTTAATTATTTATTGAAAATATTATGCCAGAGTACTACAATCCTGGATGGGGATGTTGAGAAAAGATTAATGATTTTTATCTGGAATTTATAAGTAAAAATTAGAAGTTTTGGTTGTGGTGCAATAGTGCAGTCATTTCTTGATCATCTTTTTTCACTCAAAGTTGGGTCGACTTTATCTGCGACTCCATCATATTCCAATTGGATTTCATTGAGAAAATTTGAGATAAGCTAAAGTCACTTCCTAATTTTATGCACTGAATGTTAATTTTAAATGCTATTGTTTTTATAAAGGATTCAAGCCAAAGCCAAGTTGATGAGAGAACAACAAGAACAAAGGAAGAAAGATGAAAAGAATAAATCAAGGTAACATTTTGTAAAAATCAAGATGTTTGCACTTTAGTCCATTGCCAATTGACTGATGCTGTCACCAATGACACCATCCACGGCTCAATCTTGCCAGAGTGAAAATTGTGGAAACAAGTTGCGATATTTGAACATATATGTATGGGTGCAGCCTGAATACATATTTCACAACTTTTAGGTTGTAGATTTCTTGTCTTCATATAGTTTAAATGAGCATTACCGGTATTTTGTGATAAAGCTTTATACTTGCAAATGTCTTGGAATATCTCTTGGCATCCATCCATGTTAGCCGGCTACAGTAAATAGTCATCCATTTTGTCTCAATTTTGTAGATTTAAAATCCTCTGCTACTCGACTGTTCTTTATCTCTATTTCTGATAATATCCTGGTACTGCAATTTAATTTTTACTTATTATTTCAATATTCAATTTACAGAGAGGATTTAGCCAACTCAAATCATGATGACAGAGTGAGAGCTCCAAGTGTTCCAGTCACTGCTATGCAGAGAATGAATATGGATCCAAAGGTATGAGAATTACATAGTTGGAAAATCCCCCCCAAGTACTATAAATTAGGTAAAATTATATAATTCTCTTAATATTATCATGTTTAGTAATTTATATCAAACCTGTTCAGTTACTGATTTGAGGATCAACTTAACTTTATTGTAAATCAGCATTGTTTTTATTTTATCGGTCCTGACTGAGCAATAAAAATTGAGTAGACAATAGACAATTAAAGAATTGTGTCCTTCTAAAAGTAGTAGCCCCCTTTATATCTTTGACCGTTTATATAGACTTGTTTTCATAGTGAACGCATGAGTTTGTAGGTATAATTTAACAGATGAACCAGATTGTCTTGTGATTGATAAGGACGTATCAAACACGAGGATTTATTCTTATTTTTTATTTCTTTGTCATTTGAGACATGTTGTCATGTGGTTCATACATTTATATCACAAGGGCTGCTATAAACATAATTACTACTACTATATAACGATACCTATGTTATTTAATACATCTCATTATTTTTAGGTTACATACTCAGAATCCCATTCAGGAAGGCGTTCAGTAGATCCTGGTGTTATGCTGGGTTCTCACTCACAAACATTTGAATGGAACTCTCCAAAACGACCCACCTCACCTGTTGATTATGGTGACAGAAGTCGACAACGACGCCAAGAAAGAAACTTGAATGTTAACAATATTAAAACTACTCCAGATTATAGTTCATTGCCAAGGTGAGATTCTTTTTTTTAATAGTTTTATCATAATTTTGAGTTTATATTGAGTTAAGCATGGCTAGATTTATACCCAAAATTATGTTGCTTGGATTTTTCAGACAGACGATTTACATATGTGTGTTGTTATATTATGAGAATTTCAATCATATACGTATCCAAATAATTTCACAATCCAAATAAAATAAATTTTTTTTTTTTGATAAATATTGCAAATGGCATCATTATATGGATTTTGAATTTGGACAAATCAAATCAAGTCAAATATCCCCGCCTTTTCCAATTTTGTTTCATCAAACTCTGGATATAAATATTCTTAATACAAAGAAATTTTTCGAAAAATACACCTGTTTGAAAGTGTTTTAATGATATCTTTGCACAAAAATTGTTACTGTTAATAAAATAATTTAATGTGGTGTTCGGTAATTATAAATAATGAAATATAATTAAAGTACTAATAAAAGGGTTTTATATAATACTGTATACTGTATTCAATGTAATAAATTTACTTTTTAATATTGAAGGTGTTTTATATGCTTTGTGTCTGTATGAATGTGTCATGATTAACAATATCTAATTTTTATTCATTTTGTGTGTGAGTGTTTGTAAATAATACTATATTAATTGATTATATATTGTTATAGCGTGATTAGACTCAGTATATCATGTTCACCCGCTTTACCATAGTAGTTTAGTTGGTGATCATCGCTAGATTTTAAATTTGCGTTTGTGTTTTCGAATTGGCCTTAAAAAGAGCTGAAAATTTTTTTTTAAATTAGCATTAGTTTTATACCAAAAGCTTTTTTTTATGCCAAAATTAATGATCATTCATGCTGCAAGAGAAAACTCTTTTGATTATTGGTAAACGATCCCTCCGGTTTCCAAGATTTTTTTAATTTAGTATCCGTTTTATTTAAAACTTACGTTTCTCAGAGGGTTTAAATCTGGCGGCAAAAACAAACTGAATAAGACTCGTAAAGGTATGTGACATATATCTTCATGCCTGCCTCTTGCCTGCAAGTTATGCTTGGGGGAAAACTCCTTTCTTTTTTATAGTAACAAGCACGAAATTTACATTTTGTATTCGATGCTAAAATTTGTTTTTCAAACTAACCTTATTAAGTTTAAATTGGGTGTCAACTAGCTACCATGGTGTTAATCAACCTGTTGGATATTTTGATTTCTTATTTGTTGAATAAATTTATTGATTTGTGAATTTCTAAATCATTTTCAAATAATAAAAATGTAGGTTGGTCTTATTTTGACAAGAAGTAGCCGTGTACATCGAAAAGGACCAATCGAAAAATCAAAGACAGGAAAATAGATACTGTGCTATAAATTATTCGATTTTTGTCAATTTTGATTTCTGTGACAAAAAACTAGTTAATAAATATGATTTGTACTGTTTGTTGACATGACCTGGAAAATTTAGTAAATTGATTTTGTAGGTGGTACAATACAATGGAAAATTGTTTAGTACTTTTTTTATTGGTTTGGTGATCTTTTTTGTAGATCTTTTGAAATCATATTTTTGGATACTGCAAAATTTAAAAATTTTGAAATCTAACGATCTTTTGTTTTGAAAATGGGTAATATGAAATAGCATAGCTTATAGGTTGAGGATGCACCATACTGATGATGAGCAGACCATCTATGGACCAATGTGCATTTCTGCCTATATTTAACATCCTCAAAAGACAATGGGGTATAGTTTAGGACTAATGGAATATAGAGTATAATGCCATTCCATACATTTGAAATTCACATTTCAGTGTTTAACTAGCTGCAATATTATATAAACTGAATGCAGAATAAAATGTTTCGTTGAATTTTTGCAGAAGATTAAATAAACTAGGCATGTTTGAGACCTATTGAAAAATAATTAATAAATCTCAGGCCATTGGGCCTTTTGCAAACTAGTTCAAATTTGTCATTCAGACAAAAACAGACTTCAGATCATTCATAAAGCTGGTCCTTACCTAATTTGCCTCCTCTTCACATGATAATGCATTTTATTATCTGTATTTTTCAACCTTGAAATTGGGAAGTTTCTAGGCAGCTCCCGATTAAATCATTTATGCTAAAGGTGCTGGTGATTTTCAGAGCATAAAAATCTTCTATTATGTTTTTGATTGATCTTTCAATTTATTTATACTTGGTATTATTACCGGTCCAGTAAGCACATATTATGAAAGCTCCTAATTTCCTTAAAAATTGATTAAAGTATGATTGAGTTATATCAGGGGTAGGCAAGGTTTTGAACCATGGGTGAAGGTGGGCCATGTAAGTGTGACGTAAAAAGTTACAATCTATGAACAATATTTACAAAAGTGAAAAACAATGAGATCTAAAACTAAATTTAATTGCAATCTCAACAAATTCCTTGAGCCATTTTTTAGTTGAAACATCAAAATTTGGTTTTACTTCGGTTGTGGCAGCATCGGACGGACGAGTGTTTAAATTTTAGCTATTAATCCGTCCATTTAAAAGCATATATTCACCCTAAAATGGGTTCGTACAAACTAGCACTGAGATTATGAATTTAAACAGTATATTGAAACACAACTTGACTTTCGATAAAACATTTTGTACCATTTTACTCACAGAAAACGCAATGGTAAATACGTCACTTGGGGTGGTGTGGTTACTCCCTACAGGTACGTCAGCAATGCACATACTAGAACAGGACCTGTAGTGAATATTTGAATTTGTAGAACAATATGAAAACTCATTTATGTTAGACTTGTCTATTGATTGGACGCAACAAATTTTCAACTTCAAGTGCACATCCTTTCGGGGGCTTTAACCCAAAAGGGCAAAACTTGTAAAAAGGGGAAAACCTTTTTTTAAACTTCTATCGAAAACTTTTACTTATCGAAATACTTTTTTCATATTCGCCCTTTTGTCTCAAAACCCTCGACTTTTTTCATGTATATTGCATTGAAATAGACAATCACTTCACTTTAGGTAGCTTAAGTAGTATCAATGGTATTTCAAGAATCAATCAAAAGTGATTAAGTTGAAAGAAAGAAATTTTGTATCATGACCAAATCTTGTCATCAGTCCTGAACTGGTGAATGGCAAAGTAGTTTCAATTTCCCATATGTATGGATGCATGAAGAAGGATTCCACCAGAAATTAAGTGAACAATCTTTGACACAATGTCATAGTCCATTCGAGTCTACATACAATTTTATATGTACATTTGAATTTCATGCATGTAGCTATTTATTATCTTCTACATTTCAATCTAATTTAATTCATTTGTTCAGCCATATGAGTTTAAGTTGCATACAAGCAATTTGAATGTTTTTATCCTTCCTTGATCTTCTTCACTTTTTTTTCAAGCTGTTATCTTTGCTCAGCTCAACTTGTTCAATCAAATCATCATATGCATGTAACAGTATGCAAAAGTATGATTTATCTTTTGCTTTTCTGCGATCTTCTATCTGTTCATTCTCTTTATATTTTATATTATTAGTATTAATTTGGAAGCATGGTATTTTATCATCTGATTTTTCAGTTTCACACATGAGCAATCTATCTCATTATATCAGAATTATAATGCAAAATACTCGGGTGACATTGGCAGATTATAATATTGTAGTTCATGATAAAAATCTTCCTATTTTTTGTGAAGACTGGCAAGGTATTGCAATCGAAAATGTATAAAAAAATGGTCCGCTCATTTTAAATTATGGATTTCTACAAAATTATGACATTGTACTGTATATATTTCGCTGTTTACAGTTTCATGGATCACTATACAAATGTATATTGTGGTTATATTTGTGACCCTCAACACATTGGGAAGATTAAGAATGCGTTTTATCAGAATAGCTTGTTTTTTGTCAATTCTATTATTTATATTTCTATACTTTTTTAGACAACCGCGCCTTGAGTCCGATGCGGGAGCATTACCGGACGATCCAAACAGAATTATGACTCATGCAGAAGAAAACGATCGTATGACACCCACAGCTCCTCATAGGGGTTCTTACACTCAAGACAGATCTTCAACTGGGGCGCCGGGTAACTTCAACAACTATGAGTTCTATAACATGCAGAAACCACCTAGTTCAAAGAGAAGATCAGCAGAATCAAAGTTTCGTACCAATACTTCAGAACATTCCTCTGGGTCTGTATCCGACAGACCAAGTCGACCAGATAAATCAAAAGTCGGAAGAACTTTGTATTATGATGACACTGATGATTCATTGTCTCGAACCACTGTTCAGAGAAGCAAAACTCCTCAACCTCAAATGCGCTTACATCGAGACAAATCCCCTCATTCTCAGACTGTTAGACCCAGAACAAGACCAGTGAGTACTATCAACGGGTTGGGTTTATCACCTATTGGGAATAGTTTTCACAGAGAAGAAAGTCCGGAACCTCCTCCTGTTATGTATCGGTCCCAAAAAGCAGAAAGAAAGGCACAATCGAGCGGCCCATATAGACACAGCGTACATGTTGACGTGCCGGTTTCACGTCAGTATGAACGTCACACAACCTATCATTCAGCTCGACCTCGCGATCGTAAGGAAGCACCGCCAACTTCTTACAGATGGAAAACTGATTTGTTGACAAAAGGTCAAGATCAAAGCGACACTGACAGCAACAGAACTGGATCACCAGCTCACTCTGAAAATGCTGAACGCAATCGAAACGCAATGAAAAAAATGTTAAAAGCTCGCTACAATGAACAACAGGACTCTGGAAAAATTGTCATTTCTCCTCCATATAATTTATAATTCACAATCGCAATATTATAATGATTCGTCAGAATCAAGCATAATACGACAGTCATTATCATCTTCTTTCTATCCAATATATTTTGATGATAACATTTCACATTTTCACCGCTGTGCGTTTGATCGGTACTTGATGATTTTTTTTGATTTTTTTCTGATAACACCTGTGATATTTATATGCTTAACCTTGATATGCCAAGGAATCTAATATTTTTCTACCGCATAAAGGCTTTTTTCTATTTCTAAATACGATACCATGTTGAATTTATGCCTAAATAAAAGTTAATAAATGTAATATAATCGATATTAATAAATTCAGTTATATTATTGTTATAGATAAAGTGCACTACGGATGTTGAAATTTTTAGCATTTCAAAAATAACCCTTAATGAAATTATACTTGATTATATTCTAAATCAAATAGAATTGCATTGATCCACATTTATTTTTCATGAAGAAAGAGTTATGTGCCAAGTTTGAGTTAAGAAGTTATGTCTTATTTGGTGGTTGAAGATAAAATTATCATTGTTAAAACAACCAGTTTGTTAAATTATTTTGCCAATCGTATGTGGCTTTCCTTTACTGCTTATGCGTTTTTGTTCCTTATTTTTAAGTGGGAATTCCTGTCCTTTCTTTTTTGTTCAAGAAAATTATGTCACCATCTGCCTAGTTTGTTTGTCAAAATATTGGGAACATTTTTATTTGGTGAGTCACAATGGTCAGTTGTTTATTGCGTCACTGAGGCGTCTTATTGTAAGTTCGTGTCACGTGGCTTGCCGAAGGTAGCATATATTTTCAGCGAAGTCGGTTAAAGGTTAGAATCCATTTTCAAACGAGTTTTTCACCGAATCTTGTTTTCCCACCACGTACACCCAGTTGGTATAATATGCCCAAAACAGGATCGTCGATAATTAGACAAAGTCGACGAACAACTATACATGGATGAACAAGGATGTAGTTCGACACGAGTGTTATCATGCATAGAACCACAGTGGAGTCTGGCCATGAAGCAACAGATTTAATACCCATTGCAGATAATCAGGGCCGCCATAACGTCCTTATTTTGAAGGTCTTTTTCTTAGAAAATATTTTTGTCCTTATTTCTAAGAAAGGTGATACAGTGAAGAAAAACAGGGATGTAGTTCGACACGAGTGTTATCATGCATAAAACCACGGTGGAGCCTGGCCATGAAGCAACAGATTTAATACCCATTGCATATAATCAGGGCTGCCATAACGTCCTTATTTTGAAGGTCTTTTTCTTAGAAAATATTTTTGTTATTATTTCTAAGAAACGTTCTTATTTTGACATGTGTTCTTGTTTTAGTGGTAGAGGTCCTTATAACGGGCACTTAGATTGGTCAATTCGAATAATTGATTTGCTAGAAGTGATATTAAGAACCCACTGATTGCCACACGCATTCATGGGATAATAAAAGCAAATTGAGTCACACAGTTGTGTAACTTAAAAATACAACTTAAAAGTGAGATGAACCAGATAGTTTCTAAGACTAAAGAACTGCTGTAGCAAATCCTCTCCAGTGTAAAGTATGATTAGACACGGGTCTCACTGGCATGAATACATTTTGTTTGTTACATTTCGTTCTTTGTCATCTTATTATTATGTTTCTCTGATGTGCTTATTTTTTTGGGTTCATATCGAAGGCAGCCCTGCATATAACACAACAACAATATTATCATCCATCAACAATAATGTGTCCAAACCAAGCTGAAAGTCGTCAGGTCACCCAGTTATGAATATTTTCCCTATACTTTACCATCGCGACATTTTTTCATGCTACATAATTCTCAGTACTTACGGTTGGGAGAATATTTCGCTTCATAGTCTGTCAAATCGGATGCTTGCTAACCTCGAATGGAAATTTCAAGTCTGTATTTATCGACTAAAACGCGGCATATTTTACTTATTTCTATAGCAGGCAGTATCAACTGAATTAGACGTCGATACCACTGTGGAGAATCCACCGTCACTTTAACCATAAACAAGATAATTCCTTCCCAAATTCGTTGCTAGGTTAATTTGGTGTCGCGGCGTTATATGAATAACATATATATGAGAAATTCATCGCTGAAAGTATATAGTTGCATCTGAAGTTTATACTGATTAAAAAAATACAGTATGTAAAATATTGCCATAGGATGATCTAGTTTCCAAACTAAAATGTATGCGCTTTTTCTAGCGCTCCAATAACCACCCGAGATCCTTGCCTTGAAAATATATTTGAGTATGTCATCAGTTTGAAAATTGATTCAATAAATCGCAGTGTTGTCATGAAGGGGAACTGATTTTATACTCAACGATGTTGGATGATCTTTTATGGAAGTTTCAACTTCATGATTGGCAAAAATTTGAGGGCAATTACCAGAGCTTTTAATACCAGGACAACATAATTTTCCACACGTTACGCCACCAAGATGAAATTTAGTATAAAAGCTATCAAATTATATATGGAAAAGATAAAGGATAAATTCTATGAACCTCCCTTTTGCCAGTCATCGGTCATACGTGGGAAGATTCACAGCGTACAGTTCAGTTATAAACCAAACTCGATATAAACATTGAAATCTAACGTATGAAAATATCAGAAAGATCATAAAAGTATGATACAATAGGGTTATGATATGTCGTATATATTTCGCGGACACGAATCTGAATTTTTATTGGGTGACATAATATGCGGCTTCCTGTCGTTAAAAATCCTTATGGCATTGTTCGATGCTTTACCGCGTAATAATAGATTGTGAAATTATGTTTGATTATCAATAGAGACCCTAGGGAAAATTTGGACTACAGAAAGTTGACATATGTTTTTATATGTTGATCGCAACTGTTGTAGAAACCCAGTTAATATGATTTTAGCAAGTTGTTTAGTTTTTGATGAGATGAACTTGAAGCTTCATTTAAATCCATTTTTTTTGTTCCAGTGCAAGGGAATAGTTATGTTTTTATCCTTTTTGTCCTAGAATGCTGTTGTTATAGCTGGATACGAAAGAATCTATATAGTCCACATCAATGAAAGATGCGTATGTGCAATGTTGTTTTCGTGGACTACAGATCACGTATTCGATAATCACCAATGCTTCAAAACAAATCCTTCATATATTTAAAATAGCGTTGAAATATATATCATAGTCTACATATATATATATATATTTAGTATTTTTCAAAGGTAATAATTCTTACAGGTCGAGATCCTGAAAGGACGTATATTTTCTAAAATATAATATAACTGTTATATATATATTCTGAATCTGGTGCTCCAGAAGTATGTATACCAACATGAATGCAACTAATTTTATTTGCCTAATTCACGTCAAGTTGTGTAAAGAGACTGAAACTTATGAACAGGGGGTATATTCACTTGGCAAACACAGACAGTCTCCAATCTCGTAATAGAACTAAAATGTGGAAATCAGAAAAAATTATGCCCTAACCTGGTACACATATTACGGGAGTACCCCAAATCTTGCTTGTCAAGGAACAAAAGAACAGGATTGGCTTGGCGTCATCAGAAATAGTTTGGGACTTTTTAGTCGAGATAAAATAACTAACTGAACAATTTAAATTGCTTTCCTTTTTTTTAACAGCCGAATTTTTCTGATATTGTAATATTTGAAAGCATTTTTAAAAACCAACAGTTAGGCTATTAAACATAGAGCACCTTTTCTTTATCTGCTAATATTTTAGGGGCAATTCCCAGAAATAATGGTTACTTAATTAAAAAAGGAATGTATAAATGTTAGGACGGGCACAGCGAGTGTTACATACATGCTGGAGTATCTTGAACACAAAGAACTGAGGAGTGAAGATTATTCAGGACTGTACCTTTTGGGTTGATAGAATATGGCACCAAATAATTCAGTGTTCACTTTCTGGCAATTGTTGATGGTTGTGTGCATAATTTTCATTAATTTGAATTGTACCGAACAATGTGATATGAAGTAAGTATTATACCTCTAAGCCTATTTGTCCATGTACGATTGAGCTTATGTTTATAAATATTTAATGCATCATAATTAAAGTAAGATGCTGTATCATAAGAATTTAGGTAATTTGTCACTGTTATTTTAGTCTGTCACATGTTACAACGTTATCACTAGTTGAAATGTGAGGTCATTTTTGGGACCTCCAGAAGTATGCGCACCAAGATGGCGCACAAACTCAACGTAGTATGTGTGTACCGGTTAGGATTCAGGTTGTGCGACATCTTAGTGCGCATACTTCTGGAGCACCCATTTTTGGGTGTGTGAGCCTACTTCTTTTGATCAGTACATCTTAGACCAAATCAATATTTTTTTTTTGTAGTTTTCAATAAAGTATAATTTTAACAATTTTCACTAAATGCTTAATGAATTTTCAACGTATTTTTATTATCAAAGGAGTTAATTGATGTACGAAAAACCTCCTGAATCTTGGTAGCCTATATCCTAAGATTTTTCACAACTCTGGCAGAGGCTGTAAGCTCTGCGTTAAATTAAAAAATAACAACAAAATATGTATAAATAACAATTCGTCTTTGACAATTTGAAACTCATTGTTTTTCGAAAACGACAATTATATATATATTAATTATATGGCACTGGAGCGACGTTTAAAAGATTTAAAATCGCTTTAGAGTGGATTTTAACTTCGAGCGGTCACAAAACATTCAATATATAGATATTATACCATGTATAATTTTTTTATCCTCAGGAAAGTTGACGGAAAAAGACTTACCAATTTTAGGACAAGATATGGATGTACAGAATCTTACCTGAGAAATATTACAGATGGATTTTCGCATCATCAGATTAACTTGTAAGTGTAAGCTTTATTCAGGACAAAGTATCACGTTATTTGAATGAAGCAATAACGGGCAGCTTTCCCATGAGTTATGTTTTTTTTTCAAATTATATTTGGTACTCCTGAAGTATGCCCACCAAGATGGCGCACAACCTGAACCATAAAGTTGTACACAACCTGAGTTCAGGTTGTGCGCCATCTTGTTGAGCATACTTCAGGAGGTCCTTATATTTTTCACACATTGTAGGGTCAAATGTGATCGAGCTTTTCATGTACCTTGGAGCAATCGGATGTTGTTGAGCGAATTTGAGTGTGCAAAATGTCCCAAATTTTGTCATCACCCATCCAACAAAACGCAATTAAATCGAGAAAAATACAAATCTGAAGCAATCCGGGCGAAAAGGATATTTGACATAAAAGGAGAAGTACAACAGAAACAATATTGGTGGGTTCCACTTAGTTGCAGGTAAGAACTGAAAACAGACATTGTGTATATATTATATATATTTATCTGGGCTTTGCAACCTAACCTTTCCGGCTTTTTATTCGTGAATAGGTAAATTTCAATATATATATGCAATTCTTTAGATGTGTTGCAAAGCATCATAGTCGAAATGTGAAAATTCGAAAGCACTGCAATTGAAACTGGTCCACAAACCCGATGATGGAAAGACAAAGAAACTACAAATCTCGTGAATTAAATTAGCTTCAATAAGTCCAGCAAGAAAAGGCTTTAAGTGGCTTTGATAACATTATTAGTATATTAACTTTTGTATCAATTTCCGGGAACTTTTTTTTGTGATGACAAATGAACGACTAAACAAAGAAATTTTTCTGCATCTGTAACAAGAATATGCCAATCATGGACGTTTGATTTTGTAGTCCATAGGTTACTCATCTCCTTATCGTCTGTATTGGGAACTCATGCTGCTGTAATGATTTTATTTACCTGTCTTGAATTCGGATTTTACTGATTATTTTATGCTTCTGGTCATATATTTGAAAGCAAGCAAGTATTCTGGCGTTTCAGCAAATTTTCTTTAGGCACTGATCCTCCTGTATAAGCATGTTATCAGTACACATATACATGCTACATTAAATTACAAATGTGTTGTAGCCTATATTTATTCTATTGAATATTTTAGTTAAAAATTATTTGATCACAAATTTCCGAGTTTTGTCATTGTTCCTTAATTTGGTTCAGATTTGAGGTTGTCGAATTTCCCCCATGATCACCAGCGACAACTTGTGACTTCGTGCATTCTTAAAAAATTAACTTCGACAAAAAAATTGGTCGATAGTGTTTTATATGCTTTCGTCTTAATCTTTTCTTGAATGCTGCAAACTCTAATTACAAAAACGTCAACTTAACTCGTTTATTATCAAACAATGTGACATATTAGTAATAAGTCGCATAGATTACTATTCCATTGCAGTTAGCCTTTAAATCTTCCGCATTTACAAGGTTTTGTTTCTTTCATCTGTAATTGTATAAGTACAGTATTTTAAAAAACACCTGTATCCACGTATTACTTTGTTTATGTATGCTATTCAAATATGTTTGTAGTTTAGCATGCTATATTTAATCCGTTATTTTTTATATTTATACTTTAAAATATATACCGACATATTGCATACATACGCTGATTTTTTCTTAACTCCGACTATGTGGAAGATTGAGCTGATTTCGTATTATGGTAAATATCATAACTAGACAATTTTACTATTCAAGTAAAACTCATGGTGAATTGCAAACACCTTTCTCTTAAAACTATTATGGTATGCCCAATTATTATTAAAGTATATATAATTATGCTTTCGATGACTTGAGTCATGAATAAAATGAATTCGGATGTTACCGCCCTTCAAAATGTTTGTTTATTTTTCGTTTCAATCCTAACGATTCCACCATGAATTGCTTGTTAGTTGGAGGTAGATATGTGGGGTCGATAATATCAAAAGGTTTTATCAACAGCCTTGCTGTTCATTTGTATGGATTGTAAATTTGTATAAACGGGAGAATGACTATCATATATTGTGTGGTTTATCGTTTAGTCTGTGATTGCACGCAGCGCCAGGTAACAATTTGTAATTCAACAAATTCTACATAAGGCATGATTCATTATAGAAAATAACTAGAAAAAATTGTAGTTGTATAATAAATAGAGCATGCATCCGGTCAAGCCAGAGCTATTTACAAGCTACATATGTGAAATAGTAAGCATTCTACTACCTAAAATTTGAAGTAATATAAAAATGTCATCACCGAAATCATTGTCTCGCAACACGTACAGAATTCAAGGGCAAATGCAAATAGGGTCTTTTTATTAGTATAAGTAAGCTGAGGTAGAGAGAGCGATGGTATACCTAATATTATAATGCAAAATATTGAAAGCATCACTGCGTTGATTATAAAGATGCTTATTTAGTGATGAGGTATAATGGAAGATAATTGTGGAAATGTGTTTACTTAATGTACGGTAAAGAGAAATTGATGAAAATAATTGGTTATAGAGTGGAGCTTATTATTTTTAACTGGAAATCACCAAGAAATTGTTTGCTTGATTGAGCGAAAATTGTGAGTCGCATGATATTCTTTTTGATTTGTTGCAAATTGATGTTGCAAACGGAAAATCTTTAAATCAAAAATGAACAATGAAAATGCGATGTACGCCAAAAATTATCTCTCTATATATATATGCTCTCTGTATAATCTCATGCCTAACAGAAAGAAATGTTAACTTGCTGATCGCTCAAGACTCATTGTGTAATTAGATTAATTAATCAAAATTAAATTAATTAAAGTAATTAGATTAATTAATCAAAATTTGGGGTTCAGAAAGTTTGAAATTCTGATATAGCCTCTAGTGTTACTCAAGGGATGTAAATGAGGTAGACAGATGATGAAAGTGCGCCAGAAAAGTGTTACTCAAGGGATGTAAATGAGGTAGACAGATGATGAAAGTGCGCCAGAAAATGCAATACTTTGAACGAATAGATTATAGTCAACATTTGAGTGTCCGATTATATATAGTCGTTTTGTGATGATTTTTTACATAGAATGACTTGAGTTTTTCTCGTCAGTGGGTATTTCTTAATTCAATGAATAGCTTTGTTTGATTGCCTACGTTTGCTTCGAACTAAGGTCCGAACAGGCGCTCAGTGCAATTAATGAAAAAACAACATAAAAAAGTTTCGAAAATACTAGAAAGTCAAAACTATTTACCAATGTTTTACAACCTTTCACTCTAATTCTAATTTTTATCAGTCTGATCAAACTGCGTATAAGGTGCCCTAATCTTAACATAATTTTTTTTTTTCGAATAATGAGTTGTTAGTTCTATGTAGGCGCCGTAATCAATCGTGTGTGCTTGAAAGTATATAAAGCGTTAAAATCTTGATAGCTTATAACCGTCGTTGCCGTTTTTTCATCTTATCTTAAATAATAGATGATCACTATTTGAATGTATAAGATGATAATTTATTTATTTTTGTATTGAGTTAACTCACCAAAATCAGTAGCCGTGGGCAAAAGTGAAGCGTATAGTATATAGACATAAAGTAGGGATCGCGACATTAAAATAAAGATGAAACTATTAATCCCTTCAAAGTCTATCTTCGATTTGGTTCATCGTTTCAGAACAAATAAAAACATGGGCTTTAAGTGTATCTATCTGCCTGCGCAAAGAATAAAAATCTTTCGCGTGATAAGACGAATTTGAAACCGGAGTAAGCCAAGTTTTCTAGTTTGAAAAGGCATGATTTCTCTTTATTGCACTCTGTAGAAATTTCCAACTAAGTGAACTACAGCTCTGCTGAACTTAGTTTAAAATAGTAAATGAATATGCTGTTTTTATTTGTGCAGAAAACACTGTCTTTACAATATTTTATGGTAATTGCGAGATCCCTAAATATTTAAGCGGCTACTCTCGCATTCGTTGCATAAATCGTAATTGTTATAATAAGTTATTGATGAATATTTTTAACTTTAAGTCGTGATCAACGATCTTTTTATCCTCATAACTTGTATATAGACTACAGTTTTTTTGTCACCCGTTCTGCAAAATAAGTGACCTACTAGTGGGCGTGCTGTTTGGAAAACACAAACAAAAATTTCAGTTCAATATGTCAAACGATTTGCGTGGTACCCGTTCCGCTTAACCACCCAGCAAAGCGCTATTCGTGACTCGTGATTGCCATCGGACAAGTAAATCAGGTGTTTTTGAGTTATGTAATGTTGCATTTTATGCACGTTGGCGTGTGGCAAGGTAATTGAAGGAATAGAAATACGGTTAGTCAGGCATTTATTTCCTTTCACCAAATATATATTCTAGAGCTTAACGTCAAAAGAATTACGAGATCTGTGCTCTGATGCAGACAAATTATCGGCAAAATAACACTTTTCCTGCTACTTTTTCGAAAACATGGATAAAAATCTGTAATATCCTGTTTTGAAATATGTATTTATATTTTATATTAGGCAAAGCAGTTGTATAACTTTTGTTAGCTCCTGTTTTATCTATTTCCCGTATTTTGGTAGCGCCACCGATTTCTTTACTTTAAAATGTTGGTTAATTATCTGCGATTTCACCTCATTGAATCCGAGTTTATTTGACCCAGAAAACAACTTTAAATCTGAAATATAAAACTTCTCTCGTTTTATTGAATATCTTGGGGCGATTATTGACTTCGTTTTTTTCTTTTTAATAAAAAGGTTGTGGTCATATTATGCCATGATAAGCCTCAACAATGGCGTAATTACTGAGAATACCGAGAAGTTACGTAATTATTCAAAATAATCGATTTAGAGGAGTTTAGCAATTTATTGTTCAGCTGTAGAAGCTATTCAAACAAACGCCATATTTTCATCGTTTTGTCATATTTGAATGAATGTTTACTCTTATATCCAAGCCTTTGCATTTCGTAGATGTATTGTAAAAACAGATTGATTAATCCAGTAGAATCCGATAGATTTTATTTGATGTTTTCGACAACGCAAGTATTGGTTATAGGAATGGTTCCAATGAGATAGTGGATCTAGAGCAGTCTGCGCTTTATAGACATTCCCAACTAAGTGAACTACAGCTCTGTTGAATTTTGTTCAAATTAGTAAATAAATATGCTGATTGTAATTTCGCAGAAAACACTGTATTGACAACATTTTATGTTTATGACGAGATCCTTAAATATTCAAGTGACTATCTCGCATTCGTTTCATAGATCTTAAATCTGTCAGATAAAATAAAAAATATATTTCTAACCTTAAGTCGTGATCAGCAATCTTTTCATCTTCATAACTTACTGTATTTACTTTTATACGTACCAGTGAGAACGACAGATAAAATTGCATGTAGGCTACAATTTTTGTCACCCGTTCGGCAATATAAGCGACCTACCGATGGGCGTGCTGTTCGGACGCAAACAAAAATTTCAATACAATATGTCAGCATTTTGCGTGGCACCCGTTCCGCTTTACCGCCATGTAAAAGCGCTATTCGTGACTCATGATTGCCATCGGACAAGTAAATCAGATGTTTTTGAGATGTTTAATGTTGCATTTCATACACGATGGCGTGTGGCAAGATAATTGAAGCGACAAAAATACAGTCAGTCAGGCATTTATTTGCTTTACCGGAAAAATATGCTAAAGCTCAACCTTATAGAAGTCGAAGAATTACGAGAGATAAATCTGTGATATGCCATACAGACAAATAACCACCAAAATTACACTTCAAAAAATGTTTTCCTGCTATTTTATTAGAAATACGGGTAAAAAATCTATAATATTTAGTTTTGATATACAGGGTGTCTCAAAAGTAAGTATACACATAGGTCGTTCATTATCTCAGAAAACACATTATGGACACATTATTGTTTGCATTTTTCGTCAACCTACAGAATGACAAATAAATTAACCCAAGAAATGAGGTGCAAAACTGCTGTTTGGCGAGAAGCATATAAATCAGTAAGGTAAACTCATCGCCTCTTTAAATGAGAATTCGGAATTAATTAGGCTATCTGTTTCCTCTGAGCGCCCGCTCCTTGGTCTTCCTGATCTTTGTGCATCAACTACAGATCCAGTTACCACAAATTTACGATGAATGGTTCGTCTTGTAGGTGCCGAATTAATTCTAAATTCTCTGTTAAAGAGGCGCTGGGTTTGCTTTACTGATTTATATGCTTCATGTCAGCAATTTTGCACCTCATTTCTTGAGTTTATCTTCTTGTCATTCTGTGGGTCGATGAAAAATACCTAAAGTTCTAAACTATACCTATGCTATATACTATGCTTTCTGAAGAAACGAATGTGCTGTGATGAGTACCTAAAAAGCAAATCAAAATTAATAGTGTATACTTATTTTTGAAACACCCTATATATATATATATATATTATAGTAGGCGAAGCAGTTGTATAACTTTTGTTAGCTCCTGTATTTATGTATTTTTTGTATTTTGGTAGTGACGCTGATTTCTTTACCCTGAAATGTTCAGCGATTTTACCCCAATGTATCCTAGTTTATTTGACTCAGAAAACAACCTAAAATTGTAATTTTAAACTTCTCTCGTTTTATCGAATATCTCCTTTTTAATGAAAAAGTTGTCGGAATATAACACCATGCTAAGCCTCAACAATAGCATATTTACTGAGAATACCGAGAAGTTGCGTAACTGTTCAAAATAATCGATTCAGAGGAGTTTGGAAATGCATTGTTCGACTATAGAAACTATTCAAACAAACACCTTATTTTTGATCATTTTGTCATTTGAGCATATTTGAATAAATGTTTACTCTTATATTCCAGCCGTTGCATTTCGTTGATATATTGTAAAAACAGATTGATAAATTCAGAAAACTCGGATGGATTTTATTCGACATTTTCGACAACGCAAGTATTGGTTACAGAAATGGTGGCACTCCCGAAGTTTGCCAGGAACGTAGTATGTGTACCAGGAAAGGGTTAGGCCATAATTTCAGATACAAATACTACGTGAGTTACTTGGCTAGTCCCCAAATTCGTAATAAATCTATAAGGATTGGAAATCTAAATTGGAATAAAATTATGGCTTAACCCCAACCTGGTACACATACTACGTTCCGGTGTCCGCCATCTTGGTTCACATACTACGGGAGTACCGAAATGATTTTAATGAGATAGTGGATCTATCTATAGCAGTGGTTCTCAAATTGTGGGGCGCGTCCCACAAAAAAGGGGGGGGGGGCGTAGACTAGTAGACAATTCTTTGAGGGGGTGCAAAACTAATAAAAAATAAAAATATATTTTGGCGAATCCAGAATAGAAATCTACAGCCTTTTCGAATCTCGATGAAGCATTCGAAAAAATGTTTCAAAGTTTTTTATTTATTTATTTTACTGTCTACGTTCTATCCACGTATTTTCAACGTGAATTTTGAATAAAACATACTTTCGCCTGACAATCCATTATTTGTAGATTATGTTATAGCTGGTTATATTTGAGGTGGGGCGCGAGACTTGAGAAATCTTAAAAAGAACCACTGATCTGGAGGTTAGCCATTGCAAAAAATCAAAATTACTTAAAAAAATTTAAAGAAAATATTGTCTCGTTCATCTTGAATTAAATTGCGTTGTTATTGTGATGACCAGACAGAAACTTAGACAAATGTCACGAATTGATCACGCGTTTTCTCAGTTCAATTATCGATCCGTTAGAAAACTATGATATTCGCAAACAGGATTAGTTTTGATACTGATACGTGTAGCAAGCATTTCGCGTACTTGTATTCACTTTTATTTTTTGAATTGAGATATGGATGAATAAAGTATAAGTTTTGAGTGAACAATTTTGCTTGGCTAAAATAATATATTTCACTTATCAGTTAATAGCATATTTTCGCATTATCAAATGAATAAATTAATTATTTTTTTGACATACGGAAATTTTTTCAAGGCGATGATTAGGCTAACTTCTTGAGATGTCGGAAAATATGCATTGTGCAATAAAATAGCTTTCAGAATTAACGGATATTATTCTGCCTTTGATTTTATTCATGACTTGTGCTGACCCAAAAAGTTTGCTTTTGATTCTTTATTTAATAGAGAATATAAAAAAACATTTATGACCATTTTGGCAATCTACGGTAGCATTAAGTAAACGTTGTTCGGGTTATTGAAAGCCTATGAAAATCAAATAATATTTTATTTTTCAACTTATAATCAGTTAACAAATTTTTTTTTTCACTTTTTAGTGTCATACTTCTTTAAACTTCCTTTCAATTTGAGCTGTTTTCAGCATAACATAGTTAAAAATTTGATATACCAGAATGAAACAAATTATATCATACTGAATTAGTCGACAAAATTTCATCTGGAGACGATATAACAATTTTGTGCAAGTTACCATCCATCCATGATTCAAAAAAGATGGACAAGAAACAAAATCAAACGATCAAAGATTTTTGCAAAGAAGATTACATTTTAATGTGTAAGTGATCAGTTTCAATCAGTTTCAATCCTTTTATTTGCTATACTCGACTCAAAATTTATAACAAGCATGATGCTATGTTTAGTAATCTAGAATTTCACTCCGACTGATGCTTCATAAGACTCAGGAATCTATTGTATTAAGACGAACAAAAGTGTTTCCGGTTATGCATACGGCCTTCTGATTTTGGGTCGCATGATTTGTAATTCTAATTGGGTTGCACAATTCCAACGTTAGTCGACGTCGCTTCAATATTTGTATTTATCTTCTATATATACTAGGTTACGAAAGTTATGCCATTCGCCCAGTGAGTTCATTTGATGTATTTGTTATAATATTTTGTAGCAACTTGTAATGCCAGTTGCGTGAACCATTTTGTTTTGAACCTATAAATCGGCGATTATGGCGATGGCGTACCAGTTGGAACAATACACATGGTTATCAACCATCGTTATCACATTGCCAGCAGGCAAAACACTTCAAATTTCACATTTTATGGTTGAAATTCAAAACCACGCATGTTGGTTTTTTTACCGTGTCAAATCTCTTATCTCCTTCGTTATATATATCAAAAAAAAATGTGATTTGTCTTTAGATCTTGTGTAATATTCGTGTTGTATATTTTCTTCCATTTTAACGTTGTCAATATCCCTAATTTCTTTAATATTGTATTGAAAAATTGTTATTATGTAAGCATAATTTGAAGATTTTTTATCTGTTTCAGATCTGACATGCACCCTCGGGATACTGATAACAACGATAGGAACTCTATGCGCAACGTACAATATACCACAATGGTTTGTGAACTCGAAATTCGAAAGCAGCTTGAAGATAGCGACGGATTCACCAATTTATGCGGCGTGGATTGACCCACCCGTCCCGATCTACATGAAATTTTATGTATTTGATGTTCTTAACGGAGACAAAATTGTGAAGGGTGAAAAGCCACATTTGCGAGAGAAAGGACCCTATGTTTATAGAATGCAGGTCCCAAAATTTAACGTTTCATTTCATTCAAACGGATCCGTTTCATTTTTCAATAATCACACGCTATATTTTGAGCGGCGCATGTCCAGCGGTTCAGAAAATGACGTTGTTAACACTTTAAACGTTCCCCTAGCATCTATGGGAAGTATGGTTACAGACTTGCCTCCATTTGTATCATATTTTGGTATGATGCAGAGAATGGTTACCATGGCGGGTGGAAGCAAACTGTTCAGTCCACGAACGATAAAAGAAATTATTTGGGGTTACCAAGATCCCATTTTTACAATGCTTAACAACTTACAACTATTCACTGGTGAGAAGGTAGAGCCAATTTTCGGATTTTTTCACAAGTTCAATAACTCAGACGACGGATCATACCTTGTTCACACCGGAGTAAAAAATTACAAACAAGTTCACCAAATCATAAAATGGAAAGGTGAAAAATATCTGAAATTTTGGTCCACGAAATATGCAAATATGATAAATGGAACTGACGGATCATTTCTTGGTCCAGATATTACAACGAAGGATACGCCGTACATGTATTTTCCGCAAATGTGTCGATCGATGAAGCTTGAATACGAACAAGAATCAGAAATAAAAGGCATAAAAACAATGCAATTTCATCTTTCGGACGATTTTTTAGCAAATTCAACAATAAACCCAAACAACGCTGATTTTTGCGTTCCTCCGGGAAATTGTTACGATTCGGGAGTCCTAAACGTGCAGTCAAGTATGGGGGGCGCACCTGGGTTTGTTTCCCTCCCTCATTTCTATAACGCGGCAGAAAAATATCAAAAAGCATTTGATGGTTTAAATCCACAAAAAGATGAACACGACTCTATATTTCACGTGGAGCCAAAAAGTGGAGCTGTACTGAAAGGCGATAGAAAATTACAGATAAACATTTTGCTGAAATCTTCTCAGTATTTTGAACAACTTAAACGAGTGAGAGAATTAATATTTCCTGTGGTATGGCTCGGTGGGGCAGCGGAGGTGGATGATGCAACTGCTAGTGAATTGAGATCAGTTATGAGTATAGTTAAATTCATGGGAGTTGTATCGTACCTTATAATAGCTTCAGGGATTTCGATACTACTAGGATTTTTCCTGTGTCTAGCAAGCATGTGGCATCGTGGTAAACTCACATGTTTAAAATCTTTTAAAAAAGGAAAAATCAAACAGAATAATGTGGAAATTAACAGAGATGAAATAACATTGTGAAATATAAGCTTTTCATTATATATATTTTATCATAATGATATTATGTTTAAATTCATTTTTTATATAATTTATATAATGGATGACTCAATCAGAAGTGTTACAATTTGATAAATGACGCCATAACTGCGTTTTATAACCCATAGTGGCGTCATTAAATGAAACATAACAATGATAATACCAATTTATTTGGAATTCCATTCGTGTCCTTGTATGACTTTAGTGGCCTATAAATCTATATTTTGCCTAAATCAAAATGCGGAGAGACAGAGTGTATGTACGTGCGTGCGTGCTCTCAAGTTCTGAATGCTTTAATGTTTGGTAAATATACTTTTTTCTTGCAATGTGTTATATTCACAAAAAAATTTTGCCACAAAGAAATTATTAATATAAAGGTATTACAGTGTGATAGCTTGAGTAATTCTTTGATTTCAACTATAAACAAACTTTTTGATTTTATATATATATTATTGCTTATATATGCTGATATGCAAGTAGATAACCTTCCAGAAAGTGAAATATTTTTGCACTTTTTTAACGTTTGTTTATCTGTTTACATGATATATATGGTGAGGTGAAACTGTGGTGATCCTATTTTGCACTTTATAATAAAATTCATTTTAAATATATATACATAAAAATTGTCAAATGCTAACCGAGGTCACTAAGGGGGTAACTTGCATGCAAAACAAGAATTAAATCCGAATATCCGAGAATAACGTGCAACTAACAGTTTTGATACCAATTCTCAAAAATTACTTATCGATCTCGACCGGTAAGTATGTTAATAGGTATTTGTCTGACTGGCTGTTAGACACTTTCGCATGTTACGAGATATCTCACGAAAGTGAGGTTGAATCTGCTCCAAATTTTGCAAGTTCATTCATCATATCTCGGACCATAAGCATATTGATTTTGGATGGAAGATGTCGTATAATTAGCGAGTTATTAATTAATTAGTGATGGGACACGCGGTGTTGCTGTTGTGTCAGAGCGAAGGATACACGCCACTAGATCGATAAGTCGGCGGTCTCTGATCGCTATCTCATTTTTTAAGTTAATTTAAAACTACTTTAAACTATTTTATTGAAATATTGAATGTAATTCAAACTATCGACATATTTTTATATATTTAAAAATATCAAGATTTACTACGATAAAGTCTTCGGCAAGATATCGTGATGCGGTAAATAAATTATTCTAATATCATTCTGTTAGGCATGCCCCGTTAAATGAATACTTTGAAGAAGCACTGGACCGTTGCTGTTAAACAAGTGAATGGAAAAATGATTTTTTCCAGTTCCTCTATAAGTCAAAAAATACGGAGACGTTTTTGGAAACTAACGTTCCTATAAATCCGAGCATTTGTACATTGTTAAGAGACCATGAATTTATGGTAGGTAATTGGCACTGCGGATCTAAATCATGGTGGTCTAAACGCCACATGTGGCCTGTAGCTTCATTATCTGTGGCCCGCGTCGCATTTGCTGGAGGTGTTTCATCATAAAAATAAACCAGAATAATCTTTTGACCTATCGATACATCACTAATGTCAATGAATTGAATAGTGTTGTGGCTAGCTGAGGCCACAAGCGAAGTTGAATGATGTGCTTGGATTGTCTAAAATGTTAATTGGCTTTCTGGTCGGGAATATATGCTAACAATATAGACATCATAAGAAAATTAAAAAGCAAATGTGAAATCTATTAGCCTTGGCTGCATATATGTCCGAAAATTACCACAATGTTTGCTTAATATGTCTGCAAGTTGAACCGGTGAAAAAATAACATAATCTGAAATAGTGGTTCCCAACCGTTCTACCCTGGCGGACCGATAAAATTAAATAAAATATACTCGAGGACCGTTAAAAATTGAAATGAATGCGATAAAAATTATTACATATATTTGCGTAATATCGGCCAATCACTATGCTTTTAGACAAAAAATGCCCACTTAAAAACATTTCGCATGAGGAAATACTATCATATAATGTGCCGGCCAAAAATTGTAATGGGTGGAACATAAAATAGTAACATATAATCGCATAATAAAATGCAGTGCTGAGCACCCATTATGCGTGAAAAGGGTCCACATCTCACATAAAAAACATGCCAAACATGTACAAACACTATTAAATCTAGTGAGAATTTTGCTGTTGTTTTGTTTCCAATACAGGATTGCAAACGAGGCATCAGGAAAGGTTTTGCAGCACGTAGCTCTACAGCGGCACAGTCGATTTATTTGCTTCGTTTCAATTAAAGCTAGAAGTAACCAGTTGTAAATTCGGACAACAGTTTGATTGCTCGATTACTTAGCGATGGGTATTCGTTATCAAGAAAGCTCAAGAATGAATTGTGACAATGATTCTTTCATAAATATGAACTGTAAAGTAGAGGTTTCATCGGGTTCATCATATCAATCCCTCTGCAGTTGATCGACGCCCACAACTAAATGAATTTATATCTTAATGATTAAATCGTTGCTAACTTGCCACCAGGCTCAAAATCCTGCTGTGCACCACCCACAAAAGATCTCAGGGGCCCATGCTTTTGTTGCACGTCTCGTGTCCACCTGTAGAGTCGCAACAAATTCATATCTCGCTGGGTGTCAAGGGGAAGCTCTGGAATATTTTACTGTTCTGGACAGTTTTCTGGTTTTAACAAATAAATATTAATAACCTTCTATTTGGATGGTATTATTAAACAAGAAAAGCATGCAGAACGGGAAAAGAACGCATGCTGATTTTCAGGTTTCTGAATCTTGCGAGATTTGACGTAGCGCTTTTGCGATGAATCGGAACCAAAAAAGCGAAAAGTGTGAAAACTCGGCGCCAAGACGTCGCCGAGCCATTATTACCGCTCTTATCAAACAGCAATATGGCGACTTAATTAAGAGAAATTGCGTAATAAGCAAACGTAACTTCGTCTTCAGTAAAGTGATTGAGACCGCATAAAAACACCAAAATAAAATTTCCTAAGGACCGGCGGCTGGGAAACACTGATCTAAAATGATATTTAACAATCTTGTGAGCAATGAACATTTACCAAAGTTGATGGATTTTTCTTTGGGTATCTTATCGATGGTCGAAAGCATTTACATTACAGCACTTGAAATCTTACACTTAATGTAGATATAAAGAGACTTTTGCGCGTTTTAGTAAGTTTTTTGGTGGTGTTTGCATGTTTTAGCTCAATAAATGACAAATAATGTCAAATAATATTCTATTATCTCGCGAATGGAATAGTATGGTTTACCGAGGCTTGTATCATGTGAAAATACATTGGTAGATAATCAAACCACATGACACCTATACTTCATTAAATATTTCATATTATTTAAAAATTAAAACACAAGGTTTAAAGTTGGTTCAACCATACATAATATATAAACACCCACAATAAATATTGAAACATGTATTCAAAAATTTATCGAATCATCAAATCAAGTATAAATAATTTGACATTACCTGTTTTTACTTTGAAAATGAGTGTATTGAAGCTAAATAATGTGAAAAATCAAATTTTACGAAAATCTTTGCATCTCATATATATGAATGTCGTGCGATTTATTCTTGAAATCAGCACGAAAAACTTGAAGCATTGCTTGTAATTGGTTCTGAGGATAAATCGTAGATGATGTGCCTCCGTATTTAATTAGTGATTAATTGATTAGAAGTGACTCTGAAACCAAAAAATCCTCGATCTAATGCTTTGCACTGTAGCACACTGTCTCACAATTGTTTTCGACATATTCCTCGCTTGGCCTATTTCAGATTCCTAATTCCTCCCATACGATGCATAAAAACTATGTTTTCGTTATTCGTTCGTTAATTCAAGAATCTTTCTGCACACTAACGTTTCATCAAACCGAAGTCTGATTTCTTCAGACAAGCATGTTACAACTTTGACAAGAAAAGCGACAGCATGCACATATATATATATGAATAATACTTATAAGATGTTGGGTCTGTTTTCGATACGGAAAAATAAAACTGGGACGTTGCTAGAACAACAGGAAGCTAAGTTAAAAATTTCCGACAGCAGTGTTCATGTAAGAGTGTTTTATCTGTTATTTGTTCCATTTTTAAAGGATCTTTGCACAGTTCGAATAGTGTAAACTGTAAATTAAGAAGAGTTCCTCGCTGGTTGCTGTAACATACTAGATAGAATTGCCTTTTTAATTGATAGTGTTTCTTGGCCACCAAATATTGAATAGAAATTCGAAATAATAAATTCGAAATTATCTGATAAAACAAAAACACACATGACCGCGAAAAGTGTATCGGATAATTTCAAAAGTTATGAAATTTAAAATGTCAGTGTATTATTCGAATTCACAACGTGAATCAATCAAGAATCATGACATTTTCATAATTGATAAGATCTTCAATCAAGAATCATGACATTTTCATAATTGATAAGATCTTACAGCATGAATGTAAAATTACGCCACGTGGTAAATCGTAGTTCGATGTTATCAACAATCCTATCCAACAACTACAAAAGCCGATTTTCGTTTTTATATGCGGTTTTAGGCGTCTGTGATTTACGATAAACTTGAATGCAAATAAACAATGACTGATACAACAACTGAATGTTTCGACCTAGTTTATAGGTTGAAAGCGCTACATCAATTTCACCGTACGAATGTGGTGTTTCTATGCTATACATATTGTAACAGTTAGTAAGGAACCGAGTATAATTGAAATATACTCACTTTGGCGACTTAGTTTTTTAGTCGCAGTTCTTACCACTTCATGGCAGCTCCTGCCGCGAACGAACCGATAGATAGCAGCTCTTGACGTGGTTATAGCGCTACTATCGATATATTCATAAAGTCATGCACCTTAGTTCATCATGCGGAATTGTATATATTTACTTAAACCTGAAACTTAACCCCAAATACATCCAAACTGTATTCATGATTTTTTTTTCATATTATCCAATATTTATCGACATGCTGTGGTTACAGCAGCAAAATATGACCCGCCTTTGGTTTTCAATTTACTGCCGTGGTAGCGGCATCTCGACATTGGTTTGTGGTAGCTAAAAAGTTAGTCGCCATGGGTTTGACCATAGCGGTCATGGTTTGGAAATCCCGCCATAGTTTTGCGGCATATTCACACGGCACAAAATACTTGAAACTGCACTTGTAGATTTTGGAGTCCATACCGACGCCATTCGAGTTGAATCGGTGCAACCGTCTCTCATTTGCTGTCATCCGAGACAAAATTGCAGAAAAAATGGATCCGAACGGATGTATAGCAATGTGAAGCAGCTACCAAAGGCCACAGATAAGACTTAGCATACAAAAAATGTCAGTTAGTGTTTCGAATGCACACATGTATATTTAGATGTGTGCGTAAGATTTGCAAGAGTCAAATCAAATCAAAATCATACAACCGCCAAATCTAAAATTTCGAATGTCTAACGAAATAGTCTCTCATGCTTTCTACTGTTATATCTTTTCCAGTTCTGTAATATATTTATGTGAAGCGAATCACAACGTGGTTATGGCCATCGATGTCGAACCCGCGGAGGAGACAAATAAAAACATTCTGAAGTGTCGTGAAATTTAGATGAAATTCTCGGTACTCTCGAAGTATGTGAACCAAGATGGCGGGCACCGGACGTAG